AAATAATTTTAAAACATCCCCCCCGTGAAACAAAAATTCCTTTTTACAGGTAATATGGATTGTTATTTCACAAACTCATACCAAAGCTTTTTGTGTTTCACGGGGGGGGGGGGGGGGGGCTATGTTTACGGACAAAAAACGACAAAAATGCTCATTTTTTCACCAAATTCGAAAGGATTTACAACTTTGTATTTAATCAATTACACATGTTTAATTATATATGTATAAAACATAAGAAAAGATTTAAAGAACATTTATCCATATCCAAGAATATTTTAAAATATGCTGATGCTTTCAAGCCTGATTTCAATGGAAAACATCGTCTACCCCCCCCCCCCTTATAAAAAGAGCTAATTAACTATATAACACTGGTATTAAAATTATTAATCAATTACAATTGAACTCTTCTTTGCATTCAACAAAGATTTTTTGGCCAAATTGTCATTAGTATTGAATTAAATGGGTGTAAAATGTAGGCGGGAATCGAGAGTTAGCGTACGTGATTCTTAGATGAATTTCTATCTATGGACAGTAGTGTAAAAATGAAAACTCTAGTAACTAATTGCACAAGTCAGTTTGCAAAGTTTGTTGTAAAGGGATATGGAAAAAGAAGAAATTATGTTTATAATTGAAATATTTCTTAAAGTAACTTTCATTACGATGGACACACTTTATCAATCTCAAGAACACAAGTACACTGTAAAAAATGTGTTTAGGTGATAGACACTTTTCTAAGCACAATCTTGTCACACTTTTTTTAATGCATTTAAATTCTAAACATGTTTAATTTCAATACACGTAATGGAAAGTGTTTTGAACCTAAATGCTTACATGTTTAGATTTTAAACACATTTCTAATCAGTTTTAGATTTGCGTTTAGAACCTAAACACTTCAATGTTTTAAACAAGAATCTGCAAGAAAACTGAAAATATGACAGGACATTAATAGTTTTATTTAAACATCATATCAAAGTGCTAAAAAAGACCTAACACACAGTAAAATGTTCTCACAGATTCATTGTTCGGCGAAACTCCTTTCTCTTGTGAATGGTTTTCAATTTTTTGTACAGTCTTTTAGAAGTTATGACATATCATACTTTTTGGCATCTAAACAGTTAGTAACACCCTGTTGTTGAATTGTCTGCAGTAGCAAAATACAAAGTTAATATTGTAAAGACTCCAGGTACACATGTATGGCGTGCTTCTTGCAGTGTGATGCAATATGGTTCACTATTTCAAATCCCCCGTGATGTAAACAAAACAGCAGAGTTTATGGATAATCTTGAAAGTATTTTCTATGGTAGTATATATGTTATGACATCTTTCACATCCATAAACAGAAAGGAAGTTTGAAATTCTTTCTCTCGGCTATCCAATAAATTTAACCTGTAAGAAAGAATGTACGTTGCATTTAAGTTTAATCAATATTTATGCATTTTTAGAATCAATATTTACACTTATTAATGAATACATGATATGGCACCCAAAGACATCCTAGATATAAAGCGCAATGTTATTTACCTTTATTAATCTTCATGTAAATTTTATTTAATCCAAAGCATACATACCCTCTATAGAAGTAACAAGAAGCCTTTCATATGTATTTCACTATTTCTGCGTTGACTGTCACTCAAGTCCTCATCAGTTTCCTTGAAAACTTCGTTTACTATTTTGTTGTGACTTTCTTTGTTTCGACAACCGCGCTTATTAACGTTCAAATATATAACATTTCCGGGAAGATAACTCTGCACTTGACCGAATTTAAAACAAAATACATGTTCAATATCTAAACGCGTATAGATTTTAAATACATTTAGACGTAAGTATTTAGTTGTTAAACACAAAATCAAACACGTTTAGATCTAAACACGTAATGGAAGTGTTTATTTCCTAAGCGCAATTTTTACAGTGTAAATTATTCAGGACTTACACAATGTACATACATAATTAGTCCGTGTAGGAAAATGTACGATTTATATCTAGGTGACATATACGTCCAAAGGGCCGGGTGTAAAGTATTTGTCTTTCTATATTTATGATGTTATCTCATAATGTATTACACAAGTCACATTAATAAATGGATTATTATTATTATTATTTAGTTCTATTTTTATTCGGCAAATAATACTAAGGTTCAAAGTCAATTTTCACCTATTTCTAACCAATTAACTAGTCATTATAGTTCAAACATTCATGACATCTCTTAGATACATAAGTAAATTCTTCTCTTTTTCGGCTTCTTTCAGTTTCAGTTAATAAAATCTATTGGAATTTATTGTAGTAAGCGCTACGCATTATACATAACTACTTTTTCATGCTAATTATAGTGTTCTAAGACTAGTTTCCGTGATTAATTCTTCAATGTTTTGTTTCAATTTTATGTCTATCATGTTTATAAAATGCACTTTCTAGAGCTACATCAATCAAGATTTTTTTAGTTAGATTGGACTTTTCCATTTTTCCAATTAGAATATACCCTGTAGAAGCCGGCTGGCATATGCAGAGCAAGAGTTAAATCTCCGAATTCACAAAAGTGTCATGAAGGATTTACGCGTGAAATATTTTCCCGATCTATTGGGGGGGGGGGGGGGGGAGGGGGGTATACACGCTATAGGACATGCTATGACTTCTCAAAAAGAATTAGTCTACAGACTATTTGTATCAGAATACTGTCTTGACTAAAAAAAGACTTTCGATTTCTTGTTAATATTAAGAGAACAAGCAATATAATTTCAATTACTTAATGCTTCTTCAGGAGCAATGTTTGTGCTTTGAAGCTGCTAGATACCATCGATATTGCCTACTTACTGGGAGCATTTTTAAAAATGACCAATTCAATATTTAGTATGTATTTAGTTTCTGTAAGAAAAAAAGAAGTTTTAAAAAATAGTTTAAGAAAAGAAGGAGAAATGTTTTTTTTTGTTTTGTTTTTTTTCAAAAAACAAAAAAAAAAACAAGAAACAAAAACAGATTTCCACGCTATAATGAAAAAAAAAATCAAATCTATAGAAGATAACTTGCATGAATAAAAAACAATTTAAAATGCTCCAAATATCCATTGGTATTTTTTTTTTTTAAATCATAGAAGGGCCGAGTTAAAAAAAAAGTTCTTCGGTGTATTCTGCATGATTGTTTCCAGTTGATCCAGTTGATTTCAAATATTGGTAAAATTGAAGAAATAGATATACTGATTGATAAATTGCTTTTTTTTTTGGCCTTCGTTTGCTTGCAAACTTCAAGAAATGTAAATTGCACAATATGATAAGAATGTTATTGGTGAATTGTAGGACTACTTAAAATGCTAAAAAATGTGAGAACGACTTGAAATTCTTGAATGATATGATTAGTCTTCTATTTATAAAATACAAAACAATTATACATATTAAGCACTGAGAGTTAGTACAAATGCGGAAAATTTTCACACTCATCATACTCATGCATGATAGAACACATCATAAACTTGCATGTTGTCAATGGTTTTCTAGTGGGTTTTTTTTTTTCAAAGTCACAAAAATTTTTTCTTTCCTTTCCTTGTTGCTAATTTTAATTTTTACAAATTTATTAATTTGGGGGGAGGAGGGGTGTTATACACATATACCTATTTTGAGTATTAAAAAAAATATTATTCTGTTACACTTTTATACTTTTTCTTTAAAAGTCAAAAAAGGATACTGATAAGTATCTATGAATCAAATAAATAAATTAATTAATATCCCAATTACAGAATTATTTCATACATATGTATGTAACCATAACGGGGGAGGGGGGGGGGTGCTATAAACCATTAAAAAATACACAAGAAACCAAAAGCAGATTTGATGCTTATCAACATTAATTTTTTTCAAATTTTTATATTGAGAATCGACAAAGTTATAAAGTAGTTGGTATTAACCAAAGAGTAAATATTTGGTAAGGCACAGGAATCATGATAAAATACCGATTATATCACAAAGTTACTTTTTTGAATAGGAAATTCCTCATGCAGTACAAACAAAAAAGATTTTTATTGAACGGAACAAAACAAGTCATATTTTACTGTACATACAAAAAGATATTTATTGAAGGGAACAAAACAATTCATATTTTAGTGTACATACAAGAAAGATATTTGTTTTGTTTTTTGTATTGAACATATTTTATTGAGTACATCAAAAGGATTTAAATGAATTCTTGCTAACCTTATAGAAAGGATTTGTCAATTGAATAAAAAGAAAGAAGAGATCCATTATTGACTTTTTACAATAGCACAGAGGAAATGAGGAAATGTATGCACTTTCAAAAAAATATATAAAAATTTCGGAGTTCAAATCAATGAAATAAATAAAGCAGCTGGCGTCTTCAGTATAAATCAAACCAAAATAATCTCTCAAAATCGTTTTTGTTTGAGATGAGATAACAAATTCTAAGAAAACTACCGATGTTTGATAACATATCCCCTAAATCTGATAGAAAAAAGGAAGAGTCCACAGCCTCCCTATGAAACTTGCTTTTCTTTGAATTCTGTGTAATATAGAAAAACAAATACCGGTTTTAATTTCTCAGAAATTTAAAAGCATACCATGTACACTTTCACATTTAATTTTTTTATATATATTATCTTTAATGAATTAAAGGCACTTCAGTGTGCATATATGTACCATATTGTAGTAGACGTATATTTAATAAATGATAGGCCTAAATAAATAAAATAATTTTAAAATAGTTAAATAAATAAATGTTCCGCATACTTTTGATAAAAATAAACTCTTATCGTACAACATTATCAAGGGAGATATATTCACATGGCTCTAACAAAGTTTCGCTTTCACTTTATTTTATTTATGAAAGATAAAAATCCTAGGCGTATATCGGGTTATTTATATAGACGAAGAAGTAAACGAATGAAAGGACTTGAATGCAGCCACGTGATCATACCGTCTATATATAAGAGACACGGTTACTAGAGGAGCGCTATCACGAATGCCAGTCCGTTTGACTTTTAGTTATTGAAACAAAGACAAAGTAGTGATCGGCCGTAAGAGTCGATCGCTGTTCGTCCAAAACGGGTTTTAAAGATTTCTTGGAGAATTTACATCGTAAATCCAAGAAATGGCGTTGAGATTGCCAAGTCTGGCCAACATACGTGTTATGGCTATATTTATTTTTCTGACGGATGTCATCGTCCTTGTAGTCGTGCTAGCGTTGTTGTGGAATATGGCGGGCAGAAAGGACGATACGTGTGCAAAGTTGTGCCTTCCATGTGCAGACAACAAAAACAAAATTTGCTGCAGTTGCCACGTTCCAACACTGAAGAGCTTTCTAACAAAGGTATAAATATATTTATAACATTTCTTGTGTGTACGTGATATATCGACCCCTTAACTGCTTAAGTATCAGCTGTATGCGATAAATAGAGCGCAACGGATTGAATTATTTAGCTGTGCACACAGTAATGCGTTTTACTTCTATTATACCTATTGTATTTTTAGACCTTTAATGATACACTAACAACAGAGAAGCAAAGGAAAACAGGTATACAGAAGTTGCAAAAGTTGGATGTCAGACAAAAATATGTAAATAAATGCTAACAGAAACATGAAAAAAGCAAACAACTTAAATCTTTCTTTTTTTCTGTGCAGAAACACAAATGCCGAACTTGACACCATACATGGACGTAAGCTGGAACCTCAAACCAACAGCGCACATCACTGGTTCAAAAATAAGCACTAGATATGGTACGTGAAAATATCATAAAAATGCCATGTGCAATTAATCCACTGAAATATTTGTGTTTGGGGCAAGTGGGATCAAGTATTGTCATGAAAAAGCTTTTTTTCCAACAGATGGCGGCCGACGAGATTTATATCCAGTACGAGAATGGGACAAAGATGGAAACAACTGCCTGATGCAGAATGGAATGGAGTACCGAAATGGCCGTCTTGTTGTTCCAGCGACGGGATTCTACCACCTTTATGGCTTCCTTGACCTTCATCAGACCTATGACGACAAGGCTTCGATGCCTCCTGATATGCCAAGCTCCATCACCATGAGGTTCTACAAGTATAATATCCTTAAACCAGACGAGGAGGGCCTAATCGAGACCCTTCGCCCATATGAGAGGTCCGCCAACCGCCAGTTTATGGTTTATCAGTCTTTTCTGGGGGCTGATGTTCACCTTGAAGCTGGGGATGAGGTGTATCTCAAGGTATCTAACCTGACCTACATCAAAAATCCATCCAGAAACGTGTTTGGGCTTCACATGCTATGAATTATATTGCCACCAATTGAATGAAGAACCACCACTGAGTTTGTATCCCGGTCTCCGTAACTAACCCCCATCTTCAGAAAACTGAAGAAAATACGGCATGATAGGTACATAATGCCTAGCTCCAAGTTTTTCGACCTTTTCTTGATCAGAAATAGGCATTTGAGTTATATTCATTTCTATGTGTTTGATGCGTAAGTTTATCAAAACGGTGCCAATGATTTTATGCATTGTGAACATGCTATGGCTTAAATCATTGTTTGAGAAAAGCGGGTAATACATTTGTTACTAGCATGAGAAACATGAACTCTCAATATTTTGTAAAAACGTATGTCTGATTTTTAGGAAAAGAAAATATTAATAAAAAGAAATACAGAAAAGGTATATAGTTTTTTTTTTAATATTAAAAATAATGAACTACAGAGGCAGGTGTTACATGCACTTCCAGGGATTTTCCACTGCCCCAGGTAGGGCCGAATTGGGCCCCATTTCCCGTTGCAAAATCCCACCTTTTTTCCCAAAAAATGAATTTTGTGTTGTGGTCGGAGCTTAAAATCGATGGAACAATAGTTAAGGGAATCCTTGTTCTCTTTATGACTGACAATTTATTAATTTGTCTTTTCTCTGATTGAAAATTCTGAATAATTAAATAAAAGCTCAGATTTATTCATCATTAATGTTTATGTCTTGAGAATTGTCAAGGTACATAGTTTCCTATATCCAAGGCCCCATTCTGACTTCGCTAATTACCGAAGGAGGACATCCGGATTTAATTTATTGTTGATATTAAATTATTTAGAATTGAATGACGGGGAAGTATCAGACAGTGTAAAACCTAATTATAGGTGGTGAAAGATCGACGGGGAATAACATTTATGACTGCTTTAAGGCACTTCCTCTTCCTTGTATTTGAAGTCGATACCACGTAAATGAAGTCTATCTGTAAAGTCTATGTGTAGAAGTAGAATGAGCCTCTCTCTCTCTCTCTCTCTCTCTCTCTCATGGAGATGCTTACCTGAGCAAGACAGTCTATTATAGATTAGGACAGGGTTAATACTGAAAATAAATAAGCGGAAAAGTTTTAGTATTAAATGCAGAGGGTTAAGATTAGATATGCATGTGTATAATAATTACTAATCGCTGTAATGTTAAAAGTAGATGTATGAGACGTTGAGTGTGCTGAAGAGGTTAGTTTCATCCTAACATCGTGCAGCATGACTGAATAAATCGGAAACTGTAGATAACATGAGTATTAGTATTATAGTCATGATTTTTAGAGGGTGGACGCTTCTGACAAATCCTTTATGTTTACATTTTTCGTCTTTCCAAATTCAAAGGTGCTGATTTTAGTCATGTGACTTACATTAAATGCCAAAGTCATCTTCATTGCCTTTGTATCCGGAGGATATGGATAAGATTTGCTTACTATATACATTGTTTTGCAAAATGGCACCCCAATGATTAAAATGCATTATCTAAGATTTTAGATTTATGTGGCATGGACATTGATTTTAAACACAAAATATAACAATGTCTTGGTGTGTTAAGAAGCTTCGAAGAGTTCCCCAAACTTCCTTTTATTTAATGCACTTTCAAGCGGTCTTGCTTTGCGCCGGTTGCAGTTAAGCGGTGAGTTCGAATCCAAGCTAGATCCGATCCAAAATAATTCCTTAGTTGTGATATAGAGCGAGAGAGAAGGGGGGAGGTGCGAGGGAGTAATATAATAATGTAGATAATGATTGATAATTCAATGTTCACATACAACTGTATGTGTTGTAATCATATGTAGTTCGTATGATGTTTACATCTATCACAGATGATACAAAAGATAATGTCAGATATCAGTTATCAAATGACGACTTTAAATTTTATCATGATGATGTCATTATCTAGAATTTTGAAAATTGATGTACAATTGTAAAATTTTGAAGCAAAACATATGATGAATAATAACATGTTTTTGTAAACAAAAATTGCAATGTTATGCTTATAAATATATTATTTCTTATATAACTATAGCCCCCCCCCCCCCTTTAAACTCTGGGAGTCTAATTAGTGTAAAATATGTAATAATTGTATACTGATGGGCTGTATGATGCCCAAAGTTATATTCTAAATAAACTATGTATATTATAACTATATTAAATACTAAATCTTAACTTTTTTTAAATTCCAACAGCAACCCACCCCAAACAGATCATGTATTTCACTTTCAAGTTGTAAAATATTCTCACAACATCAAGGGGTCGAAACCACTGGTGGCCGTGAAAAAAAAATGTGTCATTTAAAATCATGCTATCAGACCTACAGTGTAGTTTATCAAATATGTGCATCGACATTTTCTGGGAAAACATACTTTAAGTTAAAAAATTGAAGGAAAAAAAGAAACATAGGCAGCTCGAATGGTCGATTACAGGTGTGATTATAGTACTGTTAACGAAAACACGGATCGTTAGTTGCTTTCAAATCCACCAATTATTTTCAATGAGAAAAGGGGGATTTTATATGCACACTGTGTAAAATTTAGAAAGTGCACAAATACTTGAAAATGTGAAGAAAATAATGTGGTAAAAAAGGTGTTGCACATGCAATTAAATAAAAAAAACTTAGTGTCCCTCTAAGTTTTTATATGAGATTATATGTCCCGATATTGGTCTAAATGGCGTTGCAAGATTACTGGTGACATTACAGTCAACACGATGATTGGTTCTAACTGTAATGTTTAAGTAATATAAAATCACTCAAAAATGTATTACCCGGCTGATTGTTACCACGTACGTGGAAGATTGATCACAAAGAAATAAAAAGGTTATATTCCATACTTTGAAAAGTTTGAGATTATATCTTCTTTAATGAATTTACTTAATAGTGAAATATTGGGTTTTTTTTCTTTGCTAAACTGCCGTGCAACAAGAAAACAAAAAAAAAAAAAAAAGATATCTATTTATTATCATGTTACATGTGACAAAGTGTTTCCATATATTTGTATTTGAATAAGTTTTACCTGTATTGTTTAAAGAATGAATTTCTGCTTGTGAGACCAAAAAAAAATGAATTAGTAAATGATTCATAAACTGAAATGGTCCTGGTGTTACGCTAAATCATATATATATATATATATATAAAAGTGTTTTTCATTAGATTGGCTGGTATTGTTATGGTAATAAATATCTTATTATACGTTCTTATAGTTATGTACAGTTAATGAAAAAAGAAGTAATCCAAGTACCGGGTAAGACACTTTTGTACCATATCAACCTTTAATTTGAGTCATTTTCTCTTAGGATTGTATATCTGACCGTGTAGTGCATGTTTGAGGTTAGTTAGTCACGACTATACAATTGGTTTCTCACAACGCACCTATACAGGTATACATGCATACGTACGTACGTGGTTTCCGAATTCCGACAATAGATAATTCTTTCTCTTTCTTTTTATTATGCCCCCGTAATCAGAGATTCGGGGGAATATTGTTTTTGTCTGTCAGTTTTTCCGCAAAAAACTTTAATCTTGGCCATAATTTGTAACAGTTGGTGCTAGGGCTTTATATTTCACATACATGTGTGTTCCTTGTGACAAGCCCTTCTTTGAGTACTCACATTTTTGATACCATGTCTTTGACCTTGGAGTTTTATCTACTCTTGAGAAAGTTAAATCTTGGGCATTAAAACTCAATCTGAACGGTTAGTGCAAGGACATTCATACTTCACTCGTATATACATATCTTTCTGACAAGAATTTAGGAATAAACATCTTAGACCTCACGGCCTTGGAGTTCCATCTTTTTAATTTTAAAAGGAAAAAAATGGCCATTATCGAACTGCCAATCGGGGATATGTCAGTCTTTCTCAAAAACAAATCTGTTAAATATTATATTATGATACTACTACATTATAGATATGTATATATACATGCACGTGCAACTTGTGACCTTATTCATTAATTAATATAATTTAAATTAAGTTATAATTTTTTCTCTATATTAAAATTCAGAAACAATCGGTTCACATGTACACTTCCCATAGAGATCTATAATTTTATGTTTTTTTAATTAGCCAAGTATTTTTATATTTTTCATCAATTTATAAAGTACTTTTCTTTTTTCTCAAAAGGTGATACAATTCATATATTTTACAAGATATCATTAGGCTGGCAAAATTCCTAGTATTAAAACTTTGCAAAAAACCGATAGGAAATTCCAGTGTGCGTATTTCTAAATATATCCAGATGTCTAGTTTAGCCAGAGACGGTTTAGCCTACTTTCCGCTTCGGTTGATATCGTTGTGTTTACATTTAGATCGAGGGCCTGTGCGTAACAAAATGGAGTCTAAAGAGGAGATCGCCAAATTTATTAAATCAGAAGACGGAGGGAAAACGGAAGTTCATCAAGAAAAAACTGCTGCGGAACATAATCAGCGATGGCGAAATTTGGCGATAGTACTAATGATTCTAAATCTATTACTTTTAATTATCGCTTTGACTGTTGTTATTGTGTGGCAAAACGATCGCAACGAAAGACAACTCGTGCCGAGTCCTGAAGCCCTGTGCCTTCCATGTGGCGATCTTTCTCTCCATAAGGACGATGACAGCTACAATCTGGTGAATTTCTCGGAAACTGTCGATACTAAAGGACAAAGGGTTTGTTGTGCAAACTCCCAAGATACACTCCAAAGCTTAGTGAACCTTGTAAGTTTTTGATATAAGGCTGTAACGTTACATTTGCTGATATTATTTACAGCCATATTTTGCGCAAAAATCACAGTGCTAGCTAATTTTTTTTATCTTTTTTTTTTTAGTTTGTAACAAGAAAATACAGGGAAGATAGAGCGAGAAGTGAGTATATATAATCACAAGGGTTTTGTAAAATTAGCTAATATCAGCATGGTATTAAATCACTTAAATTGAGTTTATTCATATAAACTTAGATGTGAATCTGGTGATTCATTGCAATCATAGCATGTTTAACCCCCTCCCCCTTTTATTATACGTGATAAATAACAATTCATGCAATATACTTTAAACAGTTTCAATATCATATACCTGTTTATTTATATGATAATTGTATTTCAACTGATATCAGCTGAATTGTTCACTGTTAACTTTTATCTTTTTTCAAAGGTCCACAGTTCGAGATTAATTGTGCACAAAGTTCCCGTTATGATGATGAAAAGAAAAATTTTGCAGCAAGAGTTGTCAACGTAAAGCGGATAGAAACCTTACAAAGTATGCACTAGCTTCAAGCCGTAAAATAGATGCTCGATATATATAACTGAAAAACAAAATATTAAACAGAACTGTTTGATTTTCAATGTCAGTAAAAGATTAATAATTGAAAAAGAAAAGATACCTTGTCTAGGAAAATGCATGAAACTTTCAGTAAGACTTGCATTATTGTATCTTTTCAGAAAAAGAGAATATATTATGGGATTTTGATGATCCTCATTCCTTCATTAACAATGGAATTACATACAACCCAGACACAGGAAGGTTTAATGTTTCCAAGAAAGGATTTTACTACATTTATAGCCAAGTAACATTTCTTATGAACACCACAATGGATGAAGGGGATACCAGGGCGATGTACATGTCTTTATCCCACTTTATCTATCACCAGAGAGCAAACATGAAAAATCACCCTCCCGAAAAATTCCTCGAAAGTTCGCAATCAAAGTGTGAGCTCCAGTCTGATCTAAAAGCCAGCAATAGCACGAGTTATATCGGCGCTGTTTTCTATTTAGAAAAAGGGACGGAAGTGATGGTACGAGTTACATACCCTGAACGATTGACAGAATCTTGTTATAGTAACTATTTTGGTCTTCACATGATTTAATGATTGAAAAACAAAAACAAAAGAGTAAATCTAAAAATTCCATAAAACATGTGCCAAACGTATATATCTTTCACAGTTAAATAACTTTCGCACGAGTGTTGAATGTGTGAAAATCATAAACTCATACTGTACATATATTAAGTGAAAGTGACATTGTATGCTCGTTTTGCTGTTCTGCATTAATATTTTTGATATTTTCTGTATATCTTTTTTATTTCATGATCTTTTACCATTTAATTTCCTGAAATGCATTAAAAAAAATTGGCAGCACATAAAACAAAAATTTAATATTGTTCCTTGTATTCAATATTTCTTTTAGCTTGTCAAACTGTGTTTGCTAAATCGATAACTTGGCGAATAAGCAACTACCTAAAAAGGTTGCAATGTCATTGGAAAACTTAAAACAGGTACACGTAATGTTTAAGTACAGAAGATCTACACCAACTTTTAATATTAAAATACAAGGACGCACCTATTGATTTACACTGCTATGAAGCACCTAAAGAATCTGAAGGTTGTTGGACTTTAAACTTGATATATTGATCGAGATGGCAGTGACAGCGATTTGCACTTAATTATTAATACGCACTTTTTAAATACTTACACACAACCAAACATTTTTGAGAGGTTTTAAGAGAATCATACATTTTGTTGATGTATGTCATATGCTTGCTTTTCTTTGTCCTGATCTTAAGATCATATGTAGTTTGAAAGAAGTTTTGATTTCATTAAGTGTGTAGCATAGTTGATTTATTACATTTATCCACCAAGTATTGAAAGGAAAAACTTCGTATTTGAAGTCTACTAAAGTTCTACCATTCTAAAAGCACCGTTAATTCTAATACAGACCTCAAATCGTATGGAACAATCTTTTCTTGTGATTTAAGAACAATCATAGTATCCATTAAAATTCCAAAATAAAAACTGGCTATAATCACTACATGTTGTATATTAAAGCTTTGTACATTCATTCAGTCATATTTAATTCTCTCAAAAACCATATGCATATATTTACAACAAATTGGAATTAAGAGCAGAGATTATTTCGATTGAAAAGTGCAGACAATGTCACAAATTTTGGTGAAAAATATACAAAGTTTTCTTAATAATGTAGGATCAGTGCCATCAAATTACAGGGTTTTATAACATTTGGATGTAACAAAAAATCTTTTTGAATATTATACATTACATAACACATGTATTCCAGTAAGTAGTGAATTCGTCTCTAATTTGATTATTATTGCGCAGATAACACTAGTTCTTTTATTCCTTTGAACATTATTCCATCTATCCACTTCTATTGGAAGACGGTAGTTACTTGTTCTAAATTTTGCAAAAATATTTCTGAATCTTGGTAAAAACAGTTAAGTATTCTTCACATTCAAACTTTGTTTTAAAAATTCTGTATGTAATAAAGTTACAGAAATTATTTATGTCAATATAGCTTTTTTGTATAAACTGATCTTTGAGTTTTTGGTTTATTGTAGTAGCTACGTAAGTAGCAGTCCATTTAACACTATGAAAATTATGGTCATTCCAAACATTACAGTCCTGTTGCGTTTAGAATATTATTAAGTAAACAAGCTACCCATAGACTACTTGTCCCATTTTTAGCTCACCTCGACGAAGTCGAGATGAGCTTATGCTATACCCCCGGCGTCGGCGTCGGTGTCGGCGTCGGCGTTAGCGTCGGCGTCCCAGGTTAAAGTTTTAGGAGCAAGTCCCATTCCCAAGTAACTATAAGCCCTACCTGGACCAAACTTGCATGGATGATGCATCTAGGGATGGACACTACCAAACTTGCTTCGGATGCTGGATCTGACCTAGATTTTCCAGATGAGTGACCAGGTTAAAGTTTTAGGAGCAGGTTCATTCCTAAGTAACTATAAGCCCTACCTGGATTAAAATTGCATGGATGATGCATCTAGGGATGGACACTACCACACTTGCTTCGGATGCTGGATCTGACCTAGATTTTCCGGATGAGTGACCAGGTTAAAGTTTTAGGAGCAGGTCCATTCCCAAGTAACTATAAGCCCTACCTGGACCAAACTTGCATGGATGATGCATCTAGGGATGGACACTACCACACATGCTTCGGATGCTGGATCTGACCTAGATTTTCCAGATGAGTGACCAGGTTAAAGTTTTAGGAGCAGGTCCATTCCCAAGTAACTATAAGCCCTACCTGGACCAAACTTGCATGGATGATGCATGTAGGGATGGACACTACTACACTTGCTTGGATGCTGGATCTGACCTAGATTTTCCAGATGAGTGACCAGGTTAAAGTTTTAGGAGCAGGTCCATTCCCAAGTAACTATAAGCCCTACCTGGACCAAACTTGCATGGATGATGCATCTAGGGATGGACACTACCAAACTTGCTTCGGATGCTGGATCAGACCTAGATTTTCCAGATGAGTGACCAAGTTAAAGTTTTAGGAGCAGGTCCATTCCTAAGTAACTATAAGCCCTACCTGGATTAAAATTGCATGGATGATGCATCTAGGGATGGACACTACCACACTTGCTTCGGATGCTGGATCTGACCTAGATTTTCCGGATGAGTGACCAGGTTAAAGTTTTAGGAGCAGGTCCATTCCCAAGTAACTATAAGCCCTACCTGGACCAAACTTGCATGGATGATGCATCTAGGGATGGACACTACCACACATGCTTCGGATGCTGGATCTGACCTAGATTTTCCAGATGAGTGACCAGGTTAAAGTTTTAGGAGCAGGTCCATTCCCAAGTAACTATAAGCCCTACCTGGATTAAAATTGCATGGATGATGCATCTAGGGATGGACACTACTACACTTGCTTGGATGCTGGATCTGACCTAGATTTTCCAGATGAGTGACCAGGTTAAAGTTTTAGGAGCAGGTCCATTCCCAAGTAACTATAAGCCCTACCTGGACCAAACTTGCATGGATGATGCATCTAGGGATGGACACGACCAAACTTGCTTCGGATGCTGGATCAGACCTAGATTTTCCAGATGAGTGACCAAATTAAAGTTTTAGGAGCAGGTCCATTCCTAAGTAACTATAAGCCCTAACTTGATCAAACTTGCATGGATGATGCATCTAGGGATGGACACTACCACACTTGCTTCGAATGCTGGATCTGACCTACATTTTCCACATGTGAGACCAGGTATAGATTTAGGAGTAGTCCCATTCCCAAGTAACTATAAGCCCTACCTCGACCAAACTTTCATGGATGATGCATCTAGGGATGTACACTAACCAACCTGCTTCAAATGCTGGATCTGACCTAGATTTTCCACATGAGTGAATTTTAGCCATATTTTAACCAAATTAGCATGGATGTTGTATCTAGGGATGGACACTTCCAGACTTGCTTTGGATTCTGAATCTGACGTACATTTTCCAGATGAGTGACCAGGGTAATTTTTTTTGAGTAGCTATATAATATTATGGCCTTTTATGATTAAACTTGCATAGATGGTGCATCTAAGGATGAAAACTTCCAGACTTGCTTTGGATGTTGGAACTGACCAAAATTTTCTTGATTACTAAACAGGTCAAAAGTTTTTTGAGCAGGTCTATAATTAAATCAAACTTGCATGGATATTGATCTTGGGATGTACCCTAACTAGATAAAAAATATGATGTGAAATTTGCTTTACATGTAGATAACATTCGTCGAGGTGAGCTTCGTAATCTTTGATTACCTATGTTTAGTATATCTATTATCAAGACGTAAATATTATCTATACAGCTTAATCTTATTTCCATATAAATACACTGGGTAACGTTCAGTTTTACCATACAACTTGGGATACTAGATTTTAGATTTAAAATATATATTTCGAAAAATGTAGACGTTCAGAAATTCTGCAATGGTTTAACTCATTTTACTCAAAAACGCATTTTCTTGTAAAGTATATCAATGATATAATGCTTGCTAAATTTTCCGATAGAGAAACCTAAACATTCTTCACATCGGCTTCCAGGTCTTAGGCATTTTTTCTTCTTCTTTTTTATTTAAACATATTTTATTGAAACATAATCAATAAGATTGGACACAAGTTTTACCAACTTAGATCATCCTCTCCAACACAAACAAAATGACACATACATATACACGTGATGTACAACCAAAAATGTACTTTTTTTCTCTGTTTGTTTGAATTTTTGAGGGGATAAGATAAACAAATGAACAGTCATTTTACCCCCTTGACGTGTCAAAAATGAGAGCAAGACAATTGTTGTTGTATAGCATAGGGAGATAATACTAAAATTTTAAATTTTTAAGAAAGTGCAGCCAAACGTTTAGGTAGTTTTTAACTTTACCTGTATCATATTTATAATCGAACAATAGGGTTCAAGAGTTCAGTGATTGTTTTATGAATACTTGTTTCAATAATGGAATATTTTAAATGGCTAAAGTCCATAGAAGCTTAAATAACTGATCATGGGTTTAATAATTCATAGATAAAAATTATAGGTTGTATGTAGTTAAAATAAAGTACCCGATCCTTATCATTAGCTTATCCAAAAATATCTACTATATATTTATAAATTAAAACAAAAATATCGGATCGCTATTAAATTGACTTTGCTTTTTATTCAGTAAACATGTTTGTCAAAATTGTCTCTATTTCATGACAAAGAATCGATATAAGACTATCACATATACTAATAGAGGGAAACATCGAATGAAAATTAAGTTCGGTAATTTTTAAAAGAGTAAAATAAAAATTAACCTATAAAATTCATTATTAATATGTCACTGGCTTAGCTAGCTTGTCTACATTGTACATATTTGAAGATAAACTGACGAAAAGACCCTGTAGTTAGTGCTATTATTTACGCATTCACATAATAGTATGTATACATGCAATCTGTTATGTATAAGCTGATCCAAACTTTATAACAAAATCAGGGAAATATTTTGAGCTTGATTTGTAACATATATATATATATGATGCTATACAATATTAAGTATAAGTAAATATTTTGAATTTGTCTATCGATTTTGGACGGGTTTCAATATAAACAAACCAGTGACCTATTTAAGCATGATATGGGCTATAGTGTATAACCTTAACATTCTGGATTTTCCTACTAATTTTATCTATATATACATACATATTGTGTAATTGCCTTGTTTGCTTTTTATTTTACTTCAAAGCTCAGGATTAAAAATTCAAAGAGTAGTCACTCAGATGTCAAAGAAATCCGGCGTCCTTTGATTTTTTTAAATCGTCAAAATTTGATTCAAATAATACTTTGCATAAATATAATCCAACAATTATAAGTATATGTAGGTCATTTCCATGTAGGGTCCAGGTGTAAGGTGTATTATATATGTAATGCACACTGAAAATGGAGCTCGCAATTTAGATAATATACACTGTAATAAGATAAATGTTAAAAATAGCTTTTAATGGGGGTTTTTCTTATACTCTATTTTGCGACGAATAAATCACAAAAAAATTCAAGATATAGATTTCAGACAGACGCTTACGATGTCACATATAAAAGCTTCGGAATATACACGAATGTGACAGAATATCACATTCATTCACAATAAAAAAAAATAAATTAGACTTGTCAGAATCATTATTATGACGAAATATGAATCAAATTTAAAGGGAAGAAGTTCTTGTTAATTGCTTCATGAAAATATTTAAGTATTATGAAATATATCTTAAAATAAAAGGATCTATTTTGCAGAGTATGTGCGTGGCATCGATGTTGTCTACTTAATATTTCAAAGGGGGGGGGGGGGTGCAGTCAGAAAAATAATTGACAACCTACATGAAAAATCTCTGACAAGCAAAAATAAAAATTCATAAAAATAAATTCAATCTCCAAAATCTCGTGGAAGGAGGGTTGGGTGGGCTTTTTTGGGGGGTGGGGGGGAGGGTGGGGGTGTTGAGGGTTGGATCCAATTTCTTTAACATGAAAAGAAATATGAACACAACGTAGACTGTACTTTAAAAAAGTGGGGTCTTTTCCATGAACATTTTCATACTAAAAAAAGGGGGCCAGCTCCCCCTACATAATACTATGTGCGTGCTTTTTATGTTAAGTTTAATACTTACAGTGAACTTCTTTATTGAATTGGTCTTCTCAATGCAAACACTAATCAAGTATACTTCTATTCCTTTAAGTGAATACTTGAGTTATCAAGTGATTCACGAGACATGAGAGAAGCTCTATTTTTGGGACATCTGTAAAGCTGTTGCAAAATAAAGCTTCGTGGCTCGTTTGTGTTCCCTCTTTCCTTGTCTCAAGCTGTGCCATAACAAAGATGAAATATTCTGGAAACCATTTGGTCTTTTTAGGGTACTTATAAACAATTGAACTCGTAATCCTGATACAGAACTTTAGAACATTATAACATAAGACCTCCTAATAAAGTAGACAGTTGTTTCTCTTGTCCTCTTCTTGTATCCATCGTCTTTCAGTATTTTCATTGTAATCATATGTATATTAATGATATTTTTGTAAGTGATCGGTGTTTTCGTATCATTTGTATATAGTAGTTATTCTTTTAAAATTGCAATCGCTTTTAATAGTGTACATGTATTTCTAAAGAATATATATACACTAACAATCTTTAGTTTGTTTCTTCACCAAGGAGCTTGTTTATCGATGCTGCATCATTTTATTGAAAACTGCGTTGTCTTACCTAAATGGTAAGAATATTATTGTGAAGAACAATTCGAGGGAAAGGGGGAGAGTATCAAATGAATAAGGCTTTAAATTGAACAGGAAAACAAATAGCATCCTGTCTTTTTATAGTGGTTCAATTTTGTTTTCAAAACTGATATGCTATCAAGGATATTTAGGGGAAAAAAACCTACGTATTTTGCAAAATATCTACTCGCCTGCACTCTGAAATGTCAAACACCTGTAGGAGGTTACTACATTGTAGTGTATACCAAGTTGATTTTGGAAATGATTCAAGAAATAAAGTTAACAGGTCTCGAATGACTATGAATGCTTTTCTTTGTGTTTAATTTAGTTTAAATGATTTATGTTTCATAAAATCGGATAGATAAGGTTATATAAGGGTGAACTTTAATGTTCTTTTTTTTTCAAAGCAAAGATTAACTTATTCATACCTATATACCACACGAACAGGCATTTGATTTCTAGCCATACAAATAAGAAAAATATCCACTTGATTTAATAAGTATACAAAGGCGAACGAAAGGAATTATTTCCATAAAGTTTTTTTCTGATTTTTTTTATGTTGAATCTTCAAAAGAATACGTTAAAAACTTTAAAATTTCCCAGTAGTATATTCTTATATACGAGCAATTTCAAAAATTGAATGATCAGGCAATAAAAGGTAATGTAATGTTAACTAGTATTTGAACAAAGAAGGAGTTTATGAAAAAAATGTGATATATGTATCCATACTATGCATACATACACTGTAGTTGAATTCAATTGTCTTTTAATAACAAGAGAAAGAAACTTACCTCTTGAGAGAGTCCACATTTTCTCCACGTTGCAAATGATCAAAATTCGATAATAAAAAAACACAATTTACTAGACATTCTTGAATTTTTGTTCATAATTGTTCACATTAAAATTCCACTCAAAATAAAATGTGTAGCTTAAGATCCTAAATTAATGGATTTATGTCCAAGTAAATACAACAAAACAATGACGCCCAGAATGGAAATTTGAAATAATATTTTACTGATTCTGGGGAATGGGCTAAATTTATACCATTAGTATTGATGTTGTTTTCTCTTATATCTGTTTGGATCAAAATGACGTCATCCGCTCGCACTCATTTCTCTATAAGTGACCATGACATGTTTTCTCAGCAGGTATGAATGAATTCAAACTTCATTGTGATTTGTTTATTTAAAAAAAAACAACATGTATTTTACTTGTTATGAACATTGATACCCCAGAATTTATGTCTTGCTCTCATTGATCTATTGCAATTTTACAGAAAAATGTTTCGTTATACGGAGAAAAATGTTTCGTTATACGGAGAAAAATGTTTCGTTATAAGAACAAATTTCCCACTGACAGGAATGTCTATGAGAGATTTTTTGTTTATTTCTAATGACAGCACATTGTTGTAACATATTTATGATGCAACTCATTACTCCTCCAAGGCACCTGATTCCAGCTCTGGTGTTTCCAATCGTCCCTGTTTTTGCCCTGTTCATGTTCTTATTCGTATTTTTCGTTTTTGTATTCTTTACTGCATTCATACTTGTATACAGATGTCTAATGACGAAATTATGCAATGAATGCTCTATTCAAAATTCCCCATTTGGTAAGTATATGGTGTTCCTTCTGATGTTATAGTTTTTAGAAAATAACAATTACATGTTTATGCGATATTATATGAATGTGTTTTTGGTGGCATCGAAAAAAAATAATTGAAAAAAGAGGCACTCTCCAGAATGCTACATTTACATGTGGCCCTGACACTGTTAGTTCTGAAAAAGCTCCAAGTTGTGAAGAAACGCACTTATAGTGTGGGTAAAACCCAAAATAAATATATTTTTATCAAGATCTGGGGTAATCATTAAAAGTCTGAGTCATTTTAAATGTATGCAATCTATAATATACACTTCTAATTGTATGGTAGATGAACTGTAACCTGCACTAAATTATTTAGCTATAGGGGCTTTGACTGGGGTAATCGTTAAAAGTCTGAGTCATTTTAAATGTATACAATCTATAATATACACTTCTAATTGTATGGTAGATGAACTGTAACCTGCACTATGAGACTGTTGTGATTCTTATCTGCTCTGACAATGACAACAAATTATAGTTACCGTTTATCTTTATTCGTTTTTGATCTTTAGTTTTTTGATAGATACATGTGTGTAAGATGCAGTTGGATAATTAGTATTTATAAATTCTAAACTTCATTGCTGGAAAGTGTTTTAGTGTGTGTCAATGTGTGAGTGTGTGTGTGCTACATGTATAATATTTGGAAATAATCTGTTTTATTATAAATTCGATGGTATTATCATGAGATTTAAATTACAGGTTCGTTTCAGAGAAAGTTAAAAACGACGCAAATTAGAAAATAAAATACAGAACGAAAGCTTTGTTATCCAAGAGATCTGAGTTTTGCTTTATATTTCTCTTCTGTCTTGCATGGCTGTATTTTAGATATTTATGAATTGTGAAAAGAAATACCACAAATTTCTGATGAAACAATGCTTATACGCATGTAATTAGACAGTTTTAAATATATTTATATATTGCATTATTTTTTTTATTCCCTTTTCAATTACTCCACTTATTTACAGTTATTTACATTTTTTAAAAGAATGCATGATATTCAGGTGCCTAGGGTTTAAGCTGCAGAATGCACCCCAGTATAATTGCATAAAAATTAAGGTCCAACTACTTAATTTTCCCTTTAAAGTTATTCACATTGTATACTTAAAATAGTTAACGTAGAATTCCACTATAGAACAACTTGACATTTTTAATTTCCTGCACTTTGAATGTGAAAATATCATATGAAGGACACACAATGACAAGGCCATTCATACCTATCATATTTCTTTTCTGGAAATCAACCAAAACGACCGCCAAACTTTTAGACCTGAGTATGGAAAAATAATTAAATTTCAAGTTAATGGTTCTCATTTACTTTCTGATAATTTGTATTTCACAACTACATGTAAAGAATATTCAAATTACACGATGAAAAGAAAAATAATCTAAAAACATTGATAACATTGAGAAACTAACATTTTTCTTTCTTTCTTTTTCTAAAAAAGAAAAAAAAGAAGAAAGAAAACTATATTTATGATTTATCACAGCACACCTACCTGAAAGGAATTTTTGTGTAGATGAGTATAGAACATTACACTTAGTCTATAAATAGAATGTATGTCAATTTAATCGTGTACGAAGTATACAAATTCTTACCTTTAACTTGCAAAATGACCAACACAGCCATGTTTATTTCTTTTCTAGTTATTTTAATAGGAGTTCTAAACCTGGCTGTTTTGGTCATAAATTCCGTACTATTACTGTCTATGTCTTCCCGTGAATACAACAACTGTACACGAATGTGTTTACCTTGTGAGACTGGAGAGAATGCAATATGTTGTGATTGTCAGGTAGAGGGTCTCCAGGGTTACCTTACAAAGGTGTGTACTCGTTTATCAAAGTATATACTAGTAATTATCATTTCTTTCTAATTGCCAGTCCATGTATTGGTCTTATTTAATTTAAAGTAAGAGCTTTACAAAATTTTGACGTTTTTTTTTTCTTTGTCTTTAACTGATTACTTAAATAAATCTTATATAAAATGTAATATGTTAATTGTAACTGATTCAATTTTTTTTATTAGCTCTATGAAAGAACTACGGAGACATCAGGAAAATACAAAGGATTTTCAGGTACAAAAATCCTCGTAGAAAAACCACATTGTTTATTTCCTTTATGATGAAAATGTAAATTTATGAATGAGGAAATTAATCGAAAATGGAATTCTAATTGTAGATCTGTTTTTCTAAAACAATGATTTTAACAAGTATATATTCTGCTCTTTATAGACATTCGTATCCTAAGCAGCTACCATGATATGTCAACCTACTATAAACCCGCAGCAAAACTTTCAGGGGATACAGAGAATAATCAGGATAAAACCTCAACAATGAAAACTGTAAAATCATGGCGGAATGACAACATGTGCTACCTCATCAACGGCATGGCATTACGTCAGGGCCGTTTAGTTGTGCCATTGGCTGGTTTATATCACGTGTATGCAATGTTTGATATTTCTCTTTTAAACAGTACAAAGGAGGCATCTATTGTAGTAATGAAGTACAACATATTAAAAGATGAAGAGATTTTATTGAGTCGGCCTCTGTCTAACTGGGCAGTATTGAGCCCCCAAAATAATTATCAACACATCTACTTGGGTGCTGATTTTCTGCTGAATCAAGAGGATGAAGTTTATGTTAAACTAAGCCACACATTACTGTTTAAAAATCCTAGTGCAAATGTATTTGGGTTGTATATGTTATGATCATTTTTGTTGTGTATATGTACATATATTTATACAAATGTTTACTTATACAAATTACTGTGATATACATTAAGTCTTTCAATTTTATCGTCCCATCTTTATATGTTTCATTTGCGTGTACATGTGTGTTTTCTTTTTTCACTGACGTATTTGACGAGATGTTTGCTGCAGAATTGTAGCTCTCCTGCAGAACTGTAGCTCTCCGGTCTGTCAATATACATGTATTTTTTTTTTCCGGAGAGCTACAATTCTGCAGCTAACAAGATGTTACATAGCAGCAACCATGATATGCAACACTCCTTTCATGTTGAACATTTCAAAGTATAGAACGTTTTACTGATTAAACATTATTTTCAGCTACTTTGTGGCACTCTAAATTTTTATAAGACTGGTATAATTTCTTCTCTGTATCTTCTACAAAACTGAATTCTTAGCAGGGGCCTGTATAGTATATAAGTCCCTGTTCTTAGTCTGTGTCATAAGTTCGTGCTTTTTTCAACTTGAATGGCATAGTGATTACTGATATTTATTGTTAATCAATGTATAAAATCATTGAGTTTTTATAATAGCTGTATTTATTTGCTGAAACGTAATACTTGCTTCTTTGACCTTTATTTTGCTTCCATTTTTATGACGACAGAAGTAATTTATTGTAAACTTTTTTTTAAAGAATATTCATATTGATGCTATACATTTTGTATTTGTTAATATATCATTGTCAATATGTATCATGGTAGCTAAAAATACTTATTATCTGACTTGAGTTCTTTGTTTTCTATTTTTGTTTGGGTGTTTCCTTTTTCGTCTTTTAAGGCTGCTGAAACTTTACTTTTTCCCTAGCTGACAATGTTTTCCATTTACAAAGTAAAAACATTTCAGATGATTTCATTTATAAAACCCTCGTATTACAAAAAAATAATAATGATAAAATAATCGGAAAGAGTCGCACAATAACAGGAAGGAACATTTATTATGATCATTTCAGAAAATCCTTTCAAATGTTTCACATGTATCAATATTTAAAGCTGCGCTATTCCATATATTGTTCACTTTTTGTCTTTACAGTTTTGTTGAATCCCTTCGTGTTCAGTTCTTTAAGATTTTATGCATTAGTATTTTAAAGAAATTGGAATATGTTATTTCATTCTTAAATCGTTTGTGTGAGATTTAGAATATCATTTGTAAAAGTATCTTCATATCTGCATGCTATTTTTGCATACAGTAAAGGGGTACTAAAGAACTACGAAAATAAAATAAGATCAATACCAACGACAATTTTAAATATTTCCACGTATGTGCCAGTGGAATTTTGTTTCGTCATTTGCAGTGTAGTATGCAAACGAGATAATAATAAATTGACACATAAAATATATATATTCATCTGGATACGTATATACACCACTAAAACCACTAAAAAAAAAAAAAGAACGTTTACGTGTTTAAGTTTTAATCGATATCATATAATATTGTTACAACTAAAAAAAAATACTACTTCCTATTTTTTACTTTTATAGGTCAAGCTTTATAATAAGTTTCCGAGGAAAATTTAAATAATGCCAAACTTTAAAAAGGGTTAATTTAAGATAGACTACAACGTTTTCTCTAGGTACAACGATCTTTTTAGAGTTATGAAAACAACGTACATCTTCGTTTTAGGTGATGCATCTATCAGGTTAACAATGGTTTTGCTATTGCTTTATTTATTGCATTGGTAACCTTGATTACAAACTATATATTTTTATTTGAAGTTATACGTTTTGGCAGATTTTCTATTGTCTGCTCGGTACTAATTAACATATCTAATCATTTTTTAAAAATCAGTTTTACATACAACTTAATTTTCTTTTGTGTGATTAGTAACATTTTATTAGTTTCAGTTTATTGCTCAAGATAGATCCTATGGCATATAATTTGCAGGATACATATTATATATTGCGCAAAAAGTTCATATTTACATGCAGTCGTACATTACATATACTATAGTCATATTAAAGAGGTTACATTATACGGAGTTAGAGATTAACATTCAATATTTCCATACATGTGTACATATGATTACGAAGTTCAGATGATTTACAAATATATTTTCCTGGATTATATATAGCTCTTATACGTTATTGACGCTTAATAAGTGAACATATTTAAAGATGATGGAGGGGGGTTCCAATAATTTATGAAAAAAGTTTTTATATTAATTTTTCATTTTCTGCACAACGTCTATCATTCCTTCGGATATTCCCCCAATCTGATTAAAATACAGATCTCTACATAGCACAAAGCTCTCTGCGCTTTGCGCTATGTAGAGATCTGTATTTTAATCAGATTGGATATACCCATGTCTACCTGTCTCTATATATAGCTAGATTATTTGAAGGTTATCGTATTTTTGTTATTTGCTTCTCATAATTTTTTGGTTTTTTTTTTTGGTTTCAAAATTGAAGAGTAATGTAAAAGAATTACAGAACATCAGTGTATTGATATGCATTAGTTTTGTTTATCCAACCATCTCACTTGAAATAATTACTACATTATACATCAAATTTCTCTTTAAAGAATTTCTAAACATTCAACAAAATTTCCTAGTGCGTTGCAATATTTATAAGAGAATTGCATTTGTAAAGGTCCTTTGTGTTCAAAACCGGCGTGATTCATAACTCAAATTACAACTCATATATACAAAATCTGAAGTTCAGTAAACAGCAAGCACTATATAAATAACGTTGCAATAAATAGTACCAAAACAACTAATTTTTTGTATGCTTACTTTTTAAAAGATTCTTGCACTGGATTTATTTATAAATTTATAAGTAAAGATAACGTATGGGTGGGTAAAATGTGTCGATTCAACACCTTTAAATACGTCTAGATTAATTTTCTAGAGTATTATCCTAACTATAGCTTCATCGCAATACGACTGAACATGGGTACAAGCTTTTCTTGCATATTTTTTTCAGAAAAGATGAAAAAAGAGAGGGAAAGATAAAGAGACTTACCTTTTAATTAAGACACAAAACTCGATAATCCATACATCGCCATATCGCTCGTTATTGCTCCACATGCAATGAACGTGTATTAGGCTATTTCAACCGAGTTTGCAAACAATGGCAATGAAGAAAAACTATAAGATATCCAAAGTAGTTGTATATTCAGGTAAATAATGCTGATGATACCGAGCGAAAGCAATTTTGCACAAGACTGTCTTGTATCATTTAATTACTTTGAAATGCTATATTTTAAATTGTTTTGAGAGTGCAAGAGAATGTTTCTATTTTTGTCAACACGTGTCATCCACTTGTTTATCTAATAGAATCCATCACACCTAGTGCACACCCTGTGATGAAATTAACAGTGACTGTTTAATTTACAAGGTTGATATGCTGAAAAGACGAACGACAGAAGGAAAACCAAGCAATGAAGATAAAATCTGAAGAATCAGTGAGGAATTACAATTGCGCCAAAAGTTAAATAGTCACTGCTGTGTCTTACTGCACATGTTAGAAATAAATTTCATGTTAAGTAAAATGCATTTGCACTTGTATACGTGTCTTTTTGACATTTGGCAAACACATACATCTGCAATAATGCTATTCTAAGTAATTGTATTGCAGAAATGTGTAAGAAAGGACAGTAGTGGCAGACGTGTCTGTAACAATACCCCTTCAGGGGTTATAGTGTGCGTCGTAAGATTATCCCTATAATTTTTCAATAGTCAAGTCTCTTGTTCTGACAGTGTCGCAAGGTGGAATAAATAGTTCATTTTCTCGTCCCCCTGAGGGTAAGGTTAAGAGAGGCATCTCTTTTAGTGATCTGGTACTTGAGTATATTTATCATTAACAGAATGGGTTAATACTCAAGCTTAAGCACAATTTTGGATTGTCTTCTATTTTTCTAACCTTTTTCATCGGCCAATAGTGAAGCCTAGTAAATATAGTTTAATCCAATATACATGCATGTATTTTTAAGATCCTTGTTTGTTACCCCACAATAGCCAGGACAATATAGATCTCATCTTTACATTAAATACGTGTATTCATGTAAACGCCCTTGGTCTTCTACTTATCTGTGACAAGGAAACAACTGAAGATTTCAGAACTAGTTCAGTTAAATTTGGAGCTTTTATCAAGTTTAAAAATAATACCTTTCGTAATACTGCATAGATTTTTTAAAACGCTCTGTTTTTCTTCTATGTGAGAAAGGAATGTACATGTACCTGTCTTTATATTTAAGTAGGCTAATTAAACCACGTGCATTGTATTTCCAGTTACAAGGTCAACCATCTCAAGTCAAGTGATTTAAATGTAGCTTATAACTTTAAAATGTCAGTTTGATGTAAAATATAATATGTTTACTGTTTTTTGTTTTTGTTTTTTGTTTTTTGTTTTTTTTTTTTTTTTGCTCAGCTTATCACTCTCGTTTATTGTCAAAAATGTTCTCCATTGTCGGATACCCACGGGTGATCTCGTCTTTTACTCATCACCCGTAGGAAAACTCGTCGAAAAATCGTCCTAAGTAATTAATATGTGCAGGCCATTTGATTGGATGCTCACAGAGTTGCGATGGCAAATCAACAAATCAAAGTTTACGTTACGTATGTTCGGCAATGACAAAAACTTTTCCGTAGTTAATACACAGATTGCAAAGGAATCCACTCACCAGTGCATTTCGCAGTTTGAGAAAGGCATTCCTATGTAATTTTGTACTGGTATTTGATGTAAGTGACCTGTACAATTTGTCTTTAATCGTTTTAAAACAAAATTTGCACCTTTTAACCAGCGTCAACATATTAAGCATAAATAGCAAACTAATAAAAGTATTTTTAAATTTCGAATCTTCTGATTGGCTGTCTATAATCAACAAATTTGCATATTTTACGACGATATTTCGGCGAGTTTGCCCACGGATGATGAGTAAGACGAGATCACCCGTGGGTATCCGACGATGAATGTTCCCATGCCTTCTATAATTTAGTTTGAAAGCTTATACATGTACAAAAGCGCAATACTCCGCTGTAATCATACGTGAAATACTAGCAATTAACATGTTATAGACTACATAATTCTGTTGTTTTTTTTTTTCAACAAGTCTTTTTGTTTCTTTATAAATTCTTTTTTCAATATTTAAAAAAAATAAACTATGTTCATTGATTATGTTAATTTAAGTAGTGAGGTATTACAGAATATGTTTCTTATCTATATTTAAAGTACGGGTTTTTTACTGGTTATCATCCGAGAAAAATGTGAAAATTACGTACATTGCTCATTTGGGATTATTATGCAGTATATATTTTAGATATATAACGTAAAGTGTTCTTTCAAAATTTAAAATTCCTAACAACATACACTTTACCTGACGTATAAATCATCAAAGTCTGTACTTTCTACTTTAATCCATACAGAATGAACATAAATCTTTGCGGTTTCAATACGGTTTTCAGTCTTTTACTCTCCGTTGGTCAAAAGTTTGTCTATGTCTCCTGTTCATTACACAATTGACTATACCAAACTTTGCTTTGAGAGTTGTTGAAGAAAACAAAAATTAAAATGATACCTTTATTCAATGGTATAAGTCATCCATCAATGGAAAAGTTTCTCTGTGTTGATAGTGTATCTTAATATGTACTTTTAAACTAATACACAGGCCCGTAGAAAGCAATTCAGTTAGGAGTCGAGGGAACACAACCAAACAGTTTAGGTGAGCACTACCAAGGAAAAATTCCTAGACAAGCCTTGACAAGCAAAAAACAAACAAGCAAACAAACAAAAAAAGTTTTATAGAGGGGCACATCATAATGTATCTCTTTTTTTCTATTGTATATACAATACGTCAGCAAACTTATTGGGGGACACGTCCAATACAGCCATATGTTACATATAAACACAGAGCATTAAACATTACTGTATTTCTTTGAATTTCTTTGAAGTAATGATTTACAAGTTCAATATCTTCGGTGAGTAATGTATATATAAGTATTAAATTTCTCATTATACATGCATTCAATAGACGTAGCAGTCCTATGAATTTGACACGGGATTTATATTCGTATAAAATTTAGAAAATTAACATATATATAACACTCTACACATAATATACTACGGAAGTGTTTCATATATGTTTTATAAGCATCTGAGACGTAAAAGTAATATAGTAATGCCAATGATATGACAACTTAAGATAACAAAAGAGAAGGATAGAAGAACAGGAATTCCAAAGCACAATTAAAAAGAATATATCCATCACATTTAAGTTCCCTCTACGATCAGGTGATGTTGAAACATCTCTTACGAAAGTAAAGGAAATAATTTCTTGAGCTGCCTTAAATCTCGGTACTAGTCCTTCTGGTTTCTATAAACACAATCTACATGAAGGGAGTTTTAAAAATCTTTGTGTGTTTTGTTTTTTTTTTCTTTCTCATATGTAAGAAAATATTAGTCATCGAAGCTGAAAGGATCTGCAATGTGAATTACATGTATAATGTTAGTCATCGTATCGTGAATAAAACATAGTTATAAGCACGGCATTCGATATTTATATTGTCATAAAAATAAATTATAACAATTAACATGCTGAAATGTATCTCTGTCAGATGGGGAAGTACTTTTATTTGGGAATGATATCTACAACTCATATTCATACATGTACAGATGTCTCATTTTAGTGGCCTCAGGATAATTTATCACCCTCCAATCGTTTTGACTAAAGATGTTCTATATGGCACATGTTCTAAACGTGCATGATAATTCGTTTTTATCATCCCTAAATAGGTCATCAAATTATCAACTTATGAAACCCTACAAGTAAACAGAACTCAATGGGACAAAAATTGTATCTGAGTCACGCTGTGTTTTCCTATAATATTTCTATCAAAGGACAAGGGCATTTAATGCACCAAAAAAGTTTTATTTTTGTACATGGACAATAATACACGAGGAATGAAATCTATCAACTAGAACAAGAATGAATGCTGTTATGACATTTTTCGGTTTTCTTTTCACAACAATTTCCTTTAATTTTCTTATCATATAATTACACTCTGTTTATTCTACCATAAAAAAGTATTTCATATACAATCACACAGCGTTTAGTAATTGTGTCTCGGTGTATAGTTTTCTTTGTTGTGACTAGGAAGAGAAATTACTAATAAATGTAACCCCATGCAACGTTGTTCAAAATATTGAAAGTGGGAATGACGGTGCTTATCCATAGCTTGATTGTAAAATAGGCCCAGTTTGTGTTTCTAAGACATTATTAAGTGCTCGATAGCAATTTTCCAGTGAATAATTTTGCTGTGTTTATATTTCGATTTCAGCGAAAGAGGAAGTAGATTTTCCATGAATACATTTAAACTTATTTATAGTGCCATGTAATCATTTACAGAAAATCGATATCAATCAAAGGTATACAACTTCAATATCTCTGTTATAACACAAAACAAAACATGAAAAAAAGAAATTAATACGATACTCAGTTCAACTACATAAATGGGGGTAACTTTTTATAACCCCTTCCCCAAATAAGGATGCAGATTACAAATACTACTACACTTGCCACAATATGTGAACAACTTTTTACTGTAGATCGTTCCTGATTGGTAGATGTATAAAATGGTTGTTCATCAATCGGACATATAATATTTTACTAAGGGTAGACATTTTTTTTACAGAAAGTAAGAAACAAGTGTCTGTGATACAAACAACCAAAATTTAATCAATTTTTCTTAATATTCTGACCCAACCAGAAAGATGGAGAACTAATGCAGCAGGGCTGACTTATAAAAGTGTATCAATTACATGTATGTCTACTTTAAAAGATAGGCTTTAATCATTATAAAACATATGATATATTAAATTCAATAATGTTTGCTACAATTAATTTATAATTAAATAGTCTGCAGAATGAATTCCCTTGGTTTAACATAGTGTATGGGAACTCATCACATCTATTCAAATACATGTATTTGTACCTATTTTCAGATATGTGTACCAATCTCAGTTCAAATCATTTGTAACTATCTTCAAATGAATTGAAGGTCTATAAGTTTAATTCAATTGTACCTACCTTTAACAGGCCCGTAGCAATGGTTTCTAATGGGGGAGCTTCCCAAAAGAGTCTGACAAGCAAACAAAAAAAAACAAACAAACAAACAAAGACTGACCAGAAAGGGGGGGGGGGCACTTTTCATAATAATAAGTCGAGCTAAAAAAAAAAAAGAAGAAGAAGAAAGAAAACTTCTTAACTGTCCCAAACCTGCACAATTTGCCAGTGCTCGAACTTGTAACAACAACAACAAAAAAGAGGGGCAACCAGCATCTAAATAAAAATTTACTATAGCAAAATACTATACTGCGAAAAAAAGGGTGGGGGGCACCCCACCCGGCGTTTTACGGACCTGTTTAAAGAGACACGGTGACCACGCAAAAACGGAAAAATTTACAAAGTAGAATTTTTGCATGGCGCATGCAAATTTTGTTCATTTCTTGAAAAGTTCAGATTTCATAACCTAAAAGATGGATACTGGAGTGTTGTTTTTTTGTTGTTGTTGTTGTTGTTGTTTTTTTTTTTTTTTTGGTCTGGCCCAAGACGAAAATATTCCTTTACTCTTTCCTTCTTAATCATGTTAATGTCCGCGTACGCAGTAAAAAAAAAGAACATATTTATATAAATTAACATATAGTTCATTTTGACCGGGTACAATTTACATTGGTACAATTAGAGACGATACCTATGTTTTATTAGCTAGTCCTCTGCAGTTGGGGTACCAGCTAAACCATGAGTTAGTAGCGGGAATAGAAAAATGGCAAGAAGGGTATGAATTATTCTAACACATATTACATCGTGCTTCAGATTTCACTTTGAATAGATATTTCTTTGTCCTTAGATCTAATCCTTTTCGATTGAGAAGTGTATGTATCGCTTTTCTTTCATTCGAATTTCCTCGAAGATTTTTTTCTCCCTATTTTTCCAGAGTTTTTTGGCTGATACATCTGCAAATGCAGCTGATGCGAGCTTGTCTTTCACAGGGTTAGTGTTTATACCTAAGGAATATGATAAAAGCGGAAACTTCTATTCATATTTTTTAAAGGGTTAAGTTTTCCCTCAAAGTGAAGATAAATAAGCAAATAGAATCGTGCATTCAAACTCAAGCCGGTTCTCATGGTAATTCTTATATATATCCATTCGTTAAGACTTGATTTGTTATCCTTTTATTGGTAAGTAAAATATTTTCAAGCAAATTTGGCTAGAAATTATTCATATAAAATCATTACAAATGTACTCAGTTGTGTACGCTTGCAATTGTGTACAAATTATTGACAAAAACACAATTTGTGAATGCTTTCTTAAATGTTTTTTGAAAGTTATATGTATTTTAACAGGGGTGTCAGATCACAGATTGAAGGTAGTTCATTTCTGAGAGGAGATGACAGGCAAAGAGTCAAAGATCGAAGAAGTCTTAACATCCAGAAATGTGAGTATCTTTGATATTATATCTATTAAAGCTTATCAAGAAGGTAAAGGGCTTTTTGTCTATATTTGGGACTGGGCATTGGCCCTTGATATCGAGGATGGAATATTGATATAAGTAAAATTAATTAAAAAAAAAAAAAAAAAATTTGCAATGTCAGCTAACTTAATGAAAGGAAAACCAACAATAGATGCTGAGAAAATGAGATGATTAAGACTTCTTTTTGATGAATGAATTGTTAAATGCCTTAATTTAAGCTGTCTAATATTTGATATAGACATAATTATTGCAAGTGAGGAAAACCAATGTATTTTGGGGGAAAGTGATATCAGAATATCATTTAATCTAGTAGAATCAAAAGTCCTGAGTTATGATTATAAACGACACTTAAAATCTCAATATTCGTGATGAAAATTTTTGATACATGTAATGTGATACTTTGCTAACTGACTGGAACATATTTTGAGTCAAAATATTTTTTTCTGGCAAAATTTAGGGTCTGAACTTAAAGTCCATAAATTCAAACATGTTTCTTTTTGTGCTTGATAGCTTTACAAATTTTGGATGAGAGTGTATCATCACCAACCCCAAGGTCAAGGACAGGTGGACTCAGACGGGCATCCTGTGAGATATGTTTGCTTAAATTTATTTTCATGCTTTAAAATTGAAAGCAGTAAAGTCAAATATTGAAAAAAAATATGATATTTTGGTTTCACCTTTCATTAAAGGTGTGATCTGCAGCAATTGTGATAATTATAAATCTACTTGTGTTTAGATGCACCAAAGTCCCTCACTCCAAGCTCCAAGTATGACACATCTGTTCAGTTCACACCCAACAAAGCACATCAGCTGTCACAGAATGAGGTATGAAGATTTATATAAGACCATTATTTGTATTTACAGAAGAAGTAATTTTATGCATAAAGGTTGAAAAGTACATACTTTCTTGTTTTTTCAACAGACTTTTTAAAGGGAAAGTTGAAATATAAAATTTATATTATTTCTCTTATCACTAAATTAGATTCCTATAGGTGCTTTGATGTGGCATTGTATTATTCAAATCATGAAAGGAGTTGGTTTGGATTTTAGTTAGGTCTTAATTATTTTATCACAAAAAAGTACTTAAAATGTATTGATTTTAGCACTTGTAATATTTTGCACTAATCATATTTTAGCGCTGCTTCTTGTCCGCTAAGTACACACAATTTATGTTTTAAGCAAATATATATAGAAGCCCTAAATAAATAAGGTTATGCTAATCAGTTGATGGAGAACATTGCACTAATTAATTAATTAATATACATTTACAGTATTTGATAGTGTTATTTTTTTAAAAACTGAATTTAAATCTTTTTAAGCCACAGTTTGGAAGGCAGTTGGCAGGTTCTACAATGTATGGACAATCCATGATCTCAACTATGGTAAGTTGTCTATTTTTTTGTATTCCTTCTTCTTGATTCTTGTTTAGAGAATTCCTTAGTTTATTGTTGTAAACTATTTTTTTCCAGGGAGATGACTTCACAGAAGAAATCACAACCACAAATGTTGCACTCCTGCTTGAGGAAGACCCAGGAATTTCTGGTTTGTACATAAATAAAATATATTTGTAAATGTAGGTCTCCAAAGTAATAAAATCAAGTAACAATTTAACAATTGTTCAACATATGTTCAAACAGTGTGCTTCCCATAAAAATTGAGCTAGGTATCCATGTATATTCATAAAATGTGCTATAGCAAAGTGCCAGGTAAGAGCAATTTCAATTCACTATATAAACATAAGTAATTTGTTAGATCCGATAAATTTATAATGGTTTATTCCCCGAACGTCTACTGGCTAAAACAACTATTTAATTATCACACTCAATTAAGAGGCCCTCTAAGGGGTCAAGGTAGAGTTTACCTGTATTACCTTGGTTTAACAAAGTAGTCAAAATCAAATAATTTAATATTTACTGATAAAACTGTGTACTAAAGCACAGATTTATTGATTAAATACTTGCTTTAATTGAAGGCACTAAATAAATATTTTTTTTCATATACATGTATATGTAATATATATTTTATTATGAATTATTTTCAAGCATAACTTTATTTAACCTAACACTTGGCACTTGAAGCATCACTTACACCACATTTTAACATGTTAAGCTTTGTTTAATCTATATTAAACATGGAGAACTTTTTTCACATCGCATTTGCAGGTCCATAGAACAAAAGGGGGGGGGGGGGCATTTTTCTGAGTAAAGACTTTCCCTGTAGTAACGTCTATTCCTCTAGGTCTATATGTAAATTTTCATTTAGATGTTGCAACCTCTTACACTATGTAGTTGTAAGGTCGAGCGCTGGCGAATACTCCAGCAATTGAAAAAAAAAACATAGCTACCTCTTTGTTTGGAAGCAATATCTAAAGTTAGCACCGTTTTATTTACATCAAATTCAGACATGTTGATCGTTTTTGAAAGAGGTCGGGGGGGGGCAAAAAAATTTTGACAACTTACCTTTAAAAATATTCTCCAAAACCCAATTTCATTGGGGAGGGGGGGGGGAATTCAAAATGAATTTTTTTTTCAAATTATCGTATCTTACGCTTCTTGATAGATTTTTACCAAAATGAATTACATGTATATTGTGACTGAGTTTTATGATACAAACTAACAAAGATTTTGAAATTATTTATTGTCATAATATTCAAGAAAAATCAGATAAGCTTTTTTTTTTTAAATTTTGCTAAAAAATTATTTATGAAAATAAAACACATTATTTTTAGCATTTTTTAAACTACATTTCCCCTGAAAAAAAAGCATGTTAAAACAATAAATATCTTTTATCAATCTTTCCATGCTGAAACCATGTTTCAGAAGAGATGCCTTAAAGATCCAAACATTATTGTTGCTGTAGAATTCCTCCTTCAATAAATACAGGTAAAGCTTGTTCATAAATGATTGTAGATCCTATCTGTACCCCTTAGAGGGCCCCTTAATTGAGTGTGATAATTAGATGTTGGTTTAGTCCAGTAGACGTTCGGGGAACACACCTTTATAATACATTTGAGAAGTACAGAGAATGAAAATCACTTCACCGAATGAATTCATTGTAAATATATTTACCGTTATCATGTTTTTCTGTACACATATTTTTAATAATTGTCTCATAGAGTAATATTTCAGCAAATGTTAAACGTTTAATCAGACTTTTTTTCCAAATTATGTTTCAAATGTAAGACTAATGATGAAATATATGTTTTGAAACATGTTGTAACCATAACTGCTAAAATTAATATTTGTAAACATACTAGGTACTTTGAAATAAATGCATGTTACTCCTGTTTTATATGTTAATCATATGTTGTAATTTTATGAGTGTATCCCTTTTATTACAGCCTGTCGTGGAATGTACAGGGACTTCCTACAGTGTATGAAGGCTTTGCCCTCGGAGACTCAGGTGTTTGACCTACTTAATGAGTATGAGAGGGTGTGTCAGGAGCAGGTCACCATATTGTATAAACTGGTCAACAGGGCAGCCAGTCGTAGTGAACCCAAGTAAGACAGTAAATGGACATAGGTTTTTGCATTGGGTAAATTTTTTCGATTCAATTATTCAATGACTTATTAACTTAATGTGTTATACTCTTTGAAAATTGGGGGGGGGGGGGGGGGGGGGGCTCAAATATTTGGGGGAAAGGGGTGTTACATATGAATGTGAAAAATCTTGTCATTTATATGCTAAATACATGTCTCTTATTTATAAAATTACAATTAACCTACCATTTTCTTTGAAAATCTGTTTTCAAGCACATGTACTCTTCTGTTTATATACAGTAAGTTAAATTCAAAGTCATATCTCAATGAGAGAATATTAATGTCTATTGATAAACTGCATTGTTTACCGGTAGATTTTGTTAATTTTTTTAGATACAGACCCTATTAAAGACCTCACAATATCCACTTTTGAGAATCTCTTCCTCGGTTGATGTCCAATCTTGACTTTGTTTTTTAATTTTTGGCAGATATCAAAAGACATTCAATATGCTACACATGCTAGAGATGGAGAAACATACATGGCAGCTGATCAAATCTCTCTTTCATGATCGATTGGAGAAAGAGTTGGAAGAAATGCAGATGGCTCTTGACGAGATAGTAAGAATGAACCAATGATCGTTAACACTTAATTAATGAACAGTATAATTAGCATGCTATTTTTAAAAAACTATAAAATGTAAATGAACACATAAAATTGAACTCTCACAACATAACTGAAGATGCATTTCAAATTACAACATCTTTTAATAATGCTTTTATTTATAAATAATGATTTGTACATGTGATTTAGTGGAAGTTGTAAAAAGAAAATTTTTCAGTTTCACTGTAGTTGCAGAACTGTAGCTCTCTGGTTGAGAAAATCTGGATGGACAAACCAGAGAGCTACAGATCCAAGCATTGTAAAAAAAAAAAAAAATCCTTCGATTTATGGCACCACTTTTTTGTTGCTTGCTTTGGGTATTATTTCTTGTATTATATGCTTTCATATCATATATTACATAGTTTCACAGATGAAACTGATGATTATGTATGTACAAAGAATGTTATCATTTTGCTGTTTATAACTTGGTAACGTTTCATTATACTATCAGATGTTACTTCTGTAGAATCCTCTCACTATGATGAAGCAGAGTGAACAGGAAGCCGTGACCCGGCTGTTTGAGAAGGACAGAACGATTAGAGAGAGTCAGGTAATGGTCATCATAGAAAGTAGGCAGAGAATAACATAAATGTACAGGTTCAAGTTCCATCATGGATGGACAGGAGTATTGATACAATACCTACTGTCCAGTCCAATTAAGCTAAAAAAAAATTGTAAATGAGTTTGATACATGAATATATAACATTGTATTATAACAGGTAAATACAATCAGTTAATCTCTGAACAAAGAGGAGACAATTTTAACTGCTTATACATGTGTGTGTGTGATGTACATCGTGTGATTTAAGTTACTGTCTACAAAATCAATTTAGCTACATGTAATTGTGTAATAATGATACAATATATAGACTTTATCATTTCCAGCTGGTGATTGATTGGTTGGAGAAATGTGCACAAGATGTTGTGGAGAACTATGGAGATAATGCCAAATTTTTCTCTGACAGAGCTGTAGCTTGGTGGGTTTTATTTCTGTTTTTCCAATTTTGTATTCTCTTCTTAAACCAAGAAAAAGTATTATTATTCCTCATTATAATAATTCTATCCAACCCATCATTTAATTGGTCTAGACATTCACTTGACAGAGAGAATAAAACTCTGTACTTCCAACAGAGAAAATTATATCCCACCCCTTTGGAACCCTTTCATATTTTCCTTTGGGTGTCAATGTTCTTGATTTAGTATATACCTAGTAGACAAACAGTCAATATGTGTGCCATTATTAGATTCCACATTGCTGTGAGAAGTAGATATCCAATTTACTGGATAAAAAAGACTCTAAGAACACTTAAAAGCACAAATCCTGCAGTCAAGTGTTTCAGAGAGTTCTGTTAATTAAATTGAATTTGATAGTGTTCTCAAATTGGCAAGTTTGTGTTTATTTTTAAAAGTTTGGTTTGATTCAGTATTTAAAAAACAATTTATTGCATGAATGTTTGGGATTTACAATGATTTATTCATCAAAGAAAACAGTATTCCTCTAGTGTGAAGCCTTTGGGGAGTATGATTGTGTTGGTTTTATTTCCTTATTTCCTTCTCAGTCATTCAATAAATGTATATACAGTCTAGACTGCCATAGCAACTCTCTGTATTAAAAGACTGTCATAAGCAGCCGTATTTAGTCCCGCCCAATGTTTTTTTTTCTATGTAAAGACTGTATAAAGCCAATTCCTGCCTTACGCAGCAAGCGACAGTAATTTGGAAGTCTCAAAACATTATTTAGACTGCTTAAAGTGACTTTGAGACAACCCCTCATCAAACTGGTTACCTGTGTGGTTCTCTTATGTGACACAAGAACTACTAAATGATTTTTAGAACCCTGATGTGCCCAGGATGTCCAAGCGTCAAAGAAATTGCACAGGCAACAAAAATATTAGCATATTATTTATAAATATATAGTGTCGTCATCCGTAAAGTTTTGATAAAATATTTTTTTAAATGATATGTCATTTGCTGTGAAAAGAAAGGAACTTTGTGTTTTGATTATTTCTAATTTACAAAATGAATTTGTGTAAAATTACTTTACAAGAACAAGTACATAAACTCTATATTTGTTTCGTATGCATGTATGATATTGATTTATTTTCACAACTAAGTTGAACATCCATGCTTTGTTTTAATGAACAGCATGATAACTGATTAAATAAATTTATTTTAAAAATGATATACAAGTAATCAAATGTGATTTGATTTACATAAATGTATATATTTAGAAAAACATCAGCCTAGGTAGGTTATTGTTTGATGCTGATTGTGAATATACTGAGAAGTAGATAAGGGTTTGGGATTTTAATGTTATTCCTGTATATAACTGACAAAGATTCTCTCTGATATGACAGTGTAGCTATTTTTCTGTTTAAAGGGAAAACACTCTACACAAACTGAAGAAATCAGGTGGTGTCACTTTTGGAAATGAGAGGCCCATGGTAACGGAAATGGTAAGCTTAGTATTTTAGTGATTAATGTAGTGGTAAACTTTAGCAATTGTAATCCACAGACTTTGGAGTTAAACATTTTAGACATGCATGTACAATGTATATACATGTATTTGTAATTTGTCTGTCAAATTTTGACCACTTGTTTAAGAAAAATTGTTTGGGAGAAACTCCTTTAGTATTTTCATTTTTAGGTCACCTGAGTCACTCAGGTGACCTATTGCTATCCGTTCTCGTCCGTCGGCGTGCGTTGTGTGTTAACATTTGAACATTTTTAGCTTCTTCTCTGAAACCGCTTAACCAATTTCAACCAAATGTGGCATATAGCATCTATGGGTGAAGGGGAACAAAAATTGTGAATTTCATGGTCCCTGCCCCCCTGGGGCCTGAGGGGTGAGGCTAAAACCACCAAAAATAATGCAATCTTTAAAAATCTTCTTCTTTACTCCTGGACATCAAGCAGTCAAACTGTTGGCATCATTGTAATAAGCATTGAGCCCTCTACCAAAATTGTGAAATTCATGGCCCCAGGGTCAGGGGTTCTGGCCCCAGGGTGGGGCTATATAGATCATATAGTGAAAGTGCATTATTTCTTTGAAAATCTTCTTCTCTGCTCCTGGGTATTAAATAAGGTAACTAAGTACATAGTTATGAAGAGCAAGAGTGCCTCTTCCAAAATTGTGAAATTCAGGGGTAGACAAATAGAATTTTACATTACTTGCCCTCGGACAGGTTACCATCATAAAATTACTTGTCCTACCAAAAAATATGCTTGTCCGACCTGTTTCTTAATTTAAACAAAATCATTAACATTAAATTATTTCTCAACTGAGACACTACACGGGAATCAACCTAGATCTAAAATCACTAAATTCTCCCAGATTTCTTTCAATATTTTCAGGGCATTGGTAAAGTCAAAGTTTCATTCTATTCTCCTCAAAATTCTTCAATAAGATACTCCATATACTTTCTTTGAATAAATTTAATGAAAAAGGTGAAGATGATCTCAAAAACCCTACAAACCAGACAAATCTGTGAACACTACTGCATGCCGATTGAGCTATCGACTTCATGACTATGTGATTGCCAATCAACAACCAATTTTAATAACAGTAGCACGTCTGTATTCACAGAATGAATTTAATATTTTGTCAATAAAAAAAGTCTAAAATCCAATTCAACTTTTTTGACGACATCGAAAGATGTCATGTTTTACGACTTGTGTTTATTTTAACAACACATTCATGGGTAAATTCTAGAGAAGTTCCGACCGAGTATTCAATATAGTGGTCAACAGCAGCGAAAAACAGATGCTTTGTTGTGATTCATGATATTTTAAAAGCGGTAACACAAAAGACATATTGAATATATGATTTTTTGTAAATGGCAAAAAGCACTTGTCCGCGGGCAGGCACCACTTATCAAATAACTTGCCCACTAAACAAAATTGGTTGTCCTGGGCGTCGGGCAATGCTATTTGTCTAGCCCTGAAATTCATGGCCCCAGGGTCAGGGGTTCTGGTGTTAGGGCGGGGCTCTATAGATTATATAGTGAAAATGCATTTATTCTTTGAAAATCTTCTTCTCTGCTCCTGGGTATTAAATAAAGTAACTAAGTACATAGTTATGATGAGCAAGAGTGCCTCTTTCAAAATTGTGAAATTCATGGCCCCAGGGTCAGGGGTTCTGGCCCCAGGGTGGGGCTATATAGATCATATAGTGAAAGTGCATTATTTCTTTGAAAATCTTCTTCTCTGCTCCTGGGTATTAAATAAGGTAACTAAGTACATAGTTATGATGAGCAAGAGTGCCTCTTCCAAAATTGTGAAATTCATGGCCCCGGGATTAGGGGTTCTGGTGTAAGGGCGGGGCTCTATTGATTATATAGTGAAAATGCATTAATTCTTTGAAAATCTTCTTCTCTGCTCCTGGGTATTAAATAAAGTAACTAAGTACATAGTTATGATGAGCAAGAGTGCCTCTTTCAAAATTGTGAAATTCATGGCCCCAGGGTCAGGGGTTCTGGTGTTAGGGTGGGGCTCTATAGATTATATAGTGAAAAAGCATTAATTCTTTGAAAATCTTCTTCTCTGCCCCTGGGTATTAAGTAAAGTAACTAAGTACATAGTTATGATGAGCAAGAGTGCCTCATCCAAAATTGTGAATGTCATGGCCCCAGGGTCAGGGGTTCTGGTGTTAGGGCGGGGCTCTATCAACTATCTAGTGAAAATGCATTAATTCTTTGTAAATCTTCTCTGCTCCTGGGTATTAAATTAAGTAACTAAGTACATAGTTATGATGAGCAAGAGAGCCTCTTCCCACATTGTGAATTTCATGGCCCCAGGGTCAGGGGTTCTGGTGTTAGGGCGGGGCTCTATCGACTATATAGTGAAAATGCATTAATTCTTTGAAAATCTTCTCCTCTTCTCCTGGGCATTAAGGTGATAAACTAAGAACATAGTTATGATGAGGAGGTGGGCCCCTTCCAGAATTGTGAAAGCCATGGGCCCTGGGTCAGGGGTTCTGGTGTTAGGGCAGGGCTCTATTGATTATATAGTGAAAATGCATTAATTCTTTGAAAATCTTCTTCTCTGCTCCTGGGTATTATTTAAACAAACTAAGTGCATGGTTATGATGCATAAGGATGCCTTTTTAAAAATTGTGAAATTCATGGCCCCAGGGTCAGGGGTTCTGGTGTTAGGGCGGGGCTCTATTAATTATAAACTAAGTGCATGATTATGATAGGCAAGGATGCCTCTTCCAAAATTTTTAAATACATGGCCTCAGTTTTTGGGGTTCTTGGGGGGGGGGGCTCTATTGATTATATAGTGAAAATGCATTAATTCTATTAATTAATCATTAACTAATCCTGTCTGCTCCTTAGTGTTGAGCTGATAAATAAATTGCTTAGCTATGATGAAGATGGGAGCTTCAAACAGAATTTTTAAATCTTGTGGTCCTAGGGTCAGGGGTTCTGGCATAACGAGGAAGGGGGGGGGGGGGGGGGCTTTTGATAATATAGTGGAAAAGTGTTAATTCTTTGAAGTCCATAGTTATGATGATGAGGGTAACTCTTCCAAATTTGTAAATTTCTTGACCTTTGGTCTTGGGTTCTGGTGTTAGGGTAAGGCTTTGTTGAATCTGTAGTGAAAATGCATTGTACCTGTGAAATTCTTCTCTGCTTCTGGGCATATCGAAAGCAAACTGAGTAAAAGTTTAAATGATATAAGTAAGCGTATTTCTACCAGATTTTTGAACATCTGGACAATTTGTCTAAGCATTCTGGTCCTGGACAGGGCTCTATTAATTTGTATTCTACTGAGAGAAGTTATTCCCCTTTTCCATTCACCTTTGATAATTAATCGCTGTAAATAATGTATTTGAAAGATTAATAGAATAAGATAATTATGCAAGAATGTTTATCGTATAATTCAAAAAGTACTTTCTTAGTCTTAATAATCAGGCAGACCTGTAAGTAATAGATAAATAAAAATGAGACAAAAATAACTTATCTTATTAAAAGTTCTTCAAAGACCATAAGAGAGGTCAATGCTAGGGGTCTTAATATGGGTTTAAAAATAGTACAGAAGCACTAATAATAGTCTGCATGGTGATAAATATTAAGTGGGGGACAGATTAGAACTTAAGTTATGAGTTGATACTGAATACTAGACTAATTATTTTGTTGATCCTGATCTTCCTACTTCTCTTGCTTTAGGGCAACAAAGCTTCATCTGTCAGTGTATTTAACTTCTAAATTGTTGTATTATACTCAGGTGACCGTTAAGGACCTTGGACCTCTTGTTGAAGGAGGAGATGTGTTGTATAGTTATTTTTACAGTGCATAGAATATTGAATAGTGATTTGATTTTACTCATGATTATTTAAAAATCCTCAGCACAAAAATCCAGCATATTTTGATTGTGCTGTCTTCTGACCTTTTATTATTCTTTAACTTCAGTTGACTTCATGTTGTTTTCATGTTTTTATTCACTCACAAATTCAGGATAATTAAATGACAAAAATACACACATAAGCTATTAGAATTGACTGCTATCACACAGGACCCGGATGCTCCATTCAGACAGAAGAAGATGTTAGATGACCTAGATCAGGAGGACGAGTGTAGACTCCTACAGTATTTATTTATTTGTCTACGTGCTGGACAAATAGATAAGGTAAGATGTATAGATAGAAAGTAGAAAGAATATCTATTTTGTGCAATTTTGTATCCAAAAATAAGCCATAGCTGTAACCTTAAAATTGTTTTTTTTTTTCTATCCATGAAATTGAAAAAGTGAATATACATAGTATGATGACAGTGAGTTGGATAAATCTAATGTAAACTATAGTTAACTTTATTCTAAATCATGTCTGAACATCATTCTTCCTTTTCAATTTCATCAATTTCACCAAAAGTGTGGAATAGAGGTTGAGCTTGTAACCTAGTTATACCCCCGCAAACGAAGTTTAGGGGGGTATATTGGAATCAGCATGTCCGTCTGTCTGTAGACGAGATTTTGTCAGGACCATTTCTTGGAAACTGTTGCAAGGATTTCTCTGAAAATTTGTACACTTATTATTTGCCATATGAAGGTGTGCACCTGGTATTTTCATCATGATTGGATAATTTTTTTTGCATTTTACAGGTGTTTTTTTTTTCATTTTTATTACGTGGTTTTGTCCGGATCTGTTCCCAGAGACAATTGCATAGATTTGTATGAAAATTTGTACACTTATTATTTACCGTATGAAGATGTGCACCTGGTATTCTCAACATTATTTGATAATTTTTCTGCATTTTACACGTGTTTGTTTTTTTCATATTTATTGACTTCGTCACTTCGGGTTCATGTCTAAGGTTTGAGACATAGAATCTAGAACATCTGTACAAAAATGTGAACTACAGCTTAAAACTACTTATCAGAACTAAAAAAAAATCACAAAATATTAAAAACAGTTTTTACATTACACAGCCGATAGTGTAAATCTATTTGTCCCTTTGGAGTAATGAGTGGACATGCATCCAGTTAAAGATTAATTAATGAGTTGGGTGAATTAAAAAAAAATGACCAAACGCATATTTATCAACCCACACTAAAAATACAGGCAATCAAAATAGATTTCTATGTCTCAGCATATGTCTTTAGATAGTGTCTAAATACCTGCCAAATATCTCGTTGATATCTCAATTAACAAAAAAGTTATGCCCAAAAATGATGCTAAAATTGTCAGGAGTGCAACACCTTTTTGTGACATTTTGAAATTTCAATATTTTTTGGAGATCTGTGAAATAAAAAATAATGCTTCATGTTGAAAATAAAGACTTTCCTGATAATATTCAAAGTATTGAGCTTTAAATGTGGACTGTCATAATTTTTGTTTAATCAGGTTGTGGTCATGGCTGATGTTTAAAAAAAATGTTATACCATGTCAGGAGTGCAACAGAAAAAATGTAGTGTTGCCAAAAAAACATCAATTGTAAATTTCTGATAGAAAATTAAGACAAAAAGGAATTTTGGAAGTGTAAAATAATAACTGATATACATTTTAAAACTTAAAAATGTTATCTAAATCACAAGCAGCATTAATGAGAGTCAAGTATATGTGCATACCCAAAAATGTCAGGAGTGCAACATTTGATGTTTTGCTCCCAAGCATGAAAAAACTATGATCATTATATGATTTTCTGATTTTTATTTTGGAAAATAAAGACACAAAGAACATTTTTACCAAATAGATTTATCAATTACAGGATCTGTCTGTGCTTCAGATCCATATTTCTATGGTCAGGAGTGCAACACATTTTTTTAAAGATTCAAGTTGTGTGACGAAAAGACTTCTATTCATGCTTAGAAGTATTCATTAAATAATAATGATCTTTTTGTATAATTTAATGCTAAATTATTGACAGTTTTATTATTAAAATCCTTCCTTTTTCAATTTTATCAATTCAGATGTGTTTTTATCTTTTTTATGATTTTTAAATGAACGTTAAAAATAAACACACTAAAACATTGTCATAAAATTCAAGTAATTCCTCCTCAACTTCACTGAAACAACAGAACAAGTTCTTATGTAATTTTCACTTCACAATTCTACTTTAAAGGCCCCAGTGCTTTTGGTCAGGAGTGCAACAAATATGTTAGAGTTATAAATCATCCAATAAGAATAAAAATAAAGAAAAAATGATGAGTAGAATTTTTCTGGTGGGTTACTGTGTTGTCTTCTAAAGGAAAATAATGCTTTAAAATATATTTTATCTTCTAAATATACAATTAAGCTAGTTTTTTGGCATAAAATAGGGTGTAATTCCAGATAAAATGCGAATTTTAAATACTTTCATCTGTTTTAATTATGAAGTATTGGACTATAAGTATTGCACAATTTCATTACCACTTGATGTTGCCAACACTTTATGAATTTTTGTGTTCTATGGTTTTAATTTTAAACTTTACTGCAGTCAGGAGTGCAACAAAACTGCTTCATAATTACCGATGCTTTTTAACTATCTTTACTAAAAATTAAGTTGGAAAAAAAATGCTTGATACTATTTGATGTTCAAAACACTATGTCTATCAACAAATTACAGAAATTTTACAGTCAATTCAGGGAATAGTTTTCATCATTTCACATATATTTTAAATACAATTTATATATATAACACTTTGCAAATAATCATGATTTAAGGTCTTCAAAATATGAAAGACCTGCTGTAACGATGAAAAATATCAACACGACAAATTGATTTACAAAGTAAGAATGGGTTATTGTGTGTTATAATTTTTAAAACAATGTTAAACAAAATACATATCAGATGTCAGGAGTGCAACACAATAATGTAACATAGGGTCACTTCAAAATCTAGTATTTTTCGTAAGAGAACTCGTATATAACAATTCTTTTTTGGCTTAGATTTAAAGAATTGACTTGAACGGACAAAAAAGTGAATTTTGGGGAATTTTATTACTTCATATTTTTTTCATATTAAAACTTTTCAAACCAGAATTGAAAAAATAATGAAAAATAACAATCAAAAAGCCAATTTTTTGTCACATGTACAAGAGAAGATACTCATTCAAGGTCTAGATTTAATCATTTATACCCCTTTTACCATTTTGAACCATAAAATCTATAATTTCTTGTGATTATGTATTTTAGAAAGTCTTTTAAGGTGTAGTGATATTTTCTTTTTTCAAAAGAAATTTTACTAATAAAAATTCTAAAACTTTTTAATCCAATTGTCTATTCTATTGCCACTTCAGGATTTTAAACTAGAATGCATTTGCAGTATGATGATATAAGTGAAAAATATGTTATAAGTAGTTGAATTTTACCAAAAAAATTCAGTTTGGTGGTCATTTTTTTTTTATTCACCCAGTTCAGTGTGGGAAGCTGTTAGGGCATCTCTGGTCAAGCAGGTCTTAACTATATCTCCTGGGAATTGGACAGAAAGAAATAAAGATCTCTGTAGTCTAAGCCTCTTAATATTGTAATTTATGTCTGTCAAAATACATAGTTACTGAAACCAGCCTTTTATTTTTAAAATGAGTTTGATATAAAGGTATTAAGATCAATTTGACTTTGTATAATTAATTATGATATATTTTTTCAACATTCAATCAATTTGCAGAGTGTCATGACTCACAAAGATGACAGATAGCTGCAAACTATTTTTTCAATGTAATTAAAAACACTGTAATTATTAGTATTGATGTTTTATTAGGCTGCACATTAGTTTCATTCATTGAAAAAAAATATAATGAGTAATTAAATTTTCACTCTAAATGTTTAAGCAAGTTGTGAACACCTCTCACATCTAGAAAACATTAGTGATTTGGTACCTTCTCTGAAAAACCCAGCAGGGGTATTTGTCCCATTTGGACAGTTCTAGTTTGTTCTGTGGATGTTGTACACCATACATTAATAATAATTTAGTGTAGATCGAGGTAGGTTTATTAAGTTTTTGGAATACCAATATCTGACATTTTTGCTGTTCCATATTTTGACATTTGTATAACTATTGTGTTTTAGGCGCAGGAGGTGTGTAAGAGTCACGGTCAGGCCTGGAGGGCGGCCACTTTGGAGGGATGGAAGCTGTACCATGACCCTAACTTTGAGGGACCTAATGGTCAGATTGACCCTGTGGTGGGAAATCCTCACCGTGTGATCTGGAAATGCATGTGCTGGGCCATGGCAGCTGATGTACTTATATATATATATTTGATAATGATTACAGTCTTAAATATATGTTTGATTGTGATTAAACTTTCTTCATTGATGTACATGTAGCTTACATTAACATCTTGCTATGCATAAGATCTTTTAAGAGTTGAGCAATTCTAAGTAGCTTTAAAATTGCTGTATAACTTAAGGCATGATAATTTTTAAATAATATTGAACTTTTTATTTAGCCTAAGTATGATGTGTATGAGAAGAGTATCTATGGTGCACTGAGTGGGAATCTGCGGGCTATGTTGTCTGTCTGTAAGTCCTGGCTGGACCATGTTTGGGCTCATTACAAAGTTTTGGTGGACCTCCGAGCCGAGACTGAGATCAGGACAATGTGTACAGTAGACACTAGTATGGATGTCCCATCAGAATACTGGGAACAGCCGTGAGTATAAAACAGGCACATCTTACTTGTAAATTATATTTATATATTCTTGCAAAGCATTTGTATTGAAACCTATTTGACTTGTATGTAGCATGTTGTACCATTTAAGGGGAGGAGGGGGGAAATAGTTGTGTTAGATATAAATTTTGAATCGAAATAATTCTTTCTTTTTTTTCTTGTTAAAATTTTCATGTGAACATATTACTTTCAAAACAAAACTCTTGTGTTCCATATTTAGGTCAGATCCAGAAACCATTTTCCACCGAATTGAAGCTATTGAGGTAATTCAAATAGAAAAATTTTGCAGTTTATCCATTTAAGAATAAATTAAGCCATTAAGGAAAGACCAAAAATATTAGGTAATTTTCTTTTGATAAAGACGTATTGCTTTGTAGAGTATCAGGAGGGAATCTCAGGATTTCTACCATATCATCCAGAAATGGGTCATCCTTGGTGATGTTGATAGTGAGTAGGTTTTACATTAGTAGACAATAAGAGATGGAACAGAAGACACTGATATCGCTCAGTATATAGCAATGACCTTTATAATTGTCCAGCATTCTGTTTTTCTCCTCAGAACTCCTTGATGTGATGGCTCAGTGGATTCGAGGACAGGAGAAAACACTGCCGCAGCATTTGATCCGATTTATGGCACACGTTGTTCTATTCATACGCTGTACACAACACAGAGTTAATGTAACTAGCTTTGTTTAAGAATTCAATCCCCTTACATTTATAATTAAGATTTACACTGAAGAAAAGGCTACACAGCTGTCAAGATCAGAATTTTTTCTTTAGTCATTAAACAGTTCCATCTCAAGAAGCTAATTTATCATTCCTGGTATTACTGAGGAATTCTGTAGATTAAGACTCCCCTTTGTATACTTGATTTTTCAACTTCAGGAGGACAACTGTAATGTGGTGTTAGAAGCATATGTGAGGTATCTAATAGAAGATGACCACAAAGAATTAGTGTCTCATTATGTCTCAAAACTACCCCCAAAAGCTCAGGTCCACTGGTATGCCAGGTTCCTCGAAGGTAGAGTACATTCAGCATTCTTTTTAGAATGACTTGTCTGAAATTTATTCTTTCTTGGAAGAAGGTACTTTTATTACCTGAGATCTTCAGGGGACAGAATGTCAGACATGTTATTGTAACTCGATGAGTAAAAAAAAGTTACAGTCATCTACATATCTTTCTTATTTATGGTCTGTTGAAGAAAAAATGGACAGAAATTTTTACTGCCATTCCACAACTAATGTGGATTGTAATTTTATAAAGGATTTCAAATCTTATCAAAAGCTGAAAAAAATTCCAATGATTAAAATGAACATCACTTGTAGGAATCACAAATGTGGAGGAGAAACAGATGTGTCTGCAGCTAGCAGAGGAGGTGAACCTTGATATCCCCCAGATCACAAAGACAGTGGTGGAAAATATTCGTAATAAGAGTGGAGCGGGGCTGCCGGCGGCGACCGATGTCAGGTTGGATGTCACAGTCACAGAGGTAAATTGAACAGCTTCTGTCACTTACTTTATAAAAAAAAAACACACATTTACAAAACATTAGGAAATTTTGTTTGACCTTTGTAGTACCTCTTTTGTATTTTTTATGTCCAAAAATTTTCAAAGCTATAGAGAATTTGGAATACAGTGCTACCTCGGTATATTGCCAACTTTTGTCCAAGACAGATTTTGGCATTAAAGAGAGGGTGGCAATATAACGAATTCTGCCATAAATTACAATTCAGTTGGTTATCAAAACAAAATAAATATATTACGTAATTTATTTCAGTTACAATCTATTTATGTCACATGTGTATAGGGACAGCTCTCATTTCTTTTCGGGGAAAAATGTCATTATTATTGTTTTTTTTCCCTTTGTTTACAATGTTTTGACTGAAAAGAAATAACATACTAGAATATTGAACACATCAATTTCCTGTGTCATGCTCTAAGAATTTGATAACCGGATGACAAAGATGTCAGTGGCCGTTATGGCCTCTTGGTATAAAAAAGAGTTTTGAGAATTATCATTAATTTCATCTGAATCGAAAGTAGATTATTTCACCGTCTCAAGAATTTCTGAATCAGTTAAAAAGTTCGGTTGGTAAAGCATCATGACTGACGAATGGTAAGTCGCATGTCAGAGTATGTCAACCCGTTATAATAAACATGCATTCTCATGTTTGCTAGTACCTGGGGTGTACTTCTCTTCCAATTCTGTTTTGATATTTATCAATCAAACCGATATATGTCCGACAATTTAAGAAAATTTCAAGCCTAATGGAATCCCTAATATTTTCACGCGCGGAACTATAGTAGTCTAAAAATAGGTATGGGGTTTCCTTTTTGATCGATAGAATGGCTTCTTAATCTGAGGGGATAGGGGATATAAATTAATTTTTGCATTTATTATGGTTTTGTACATTATCCATGATAAGCAATAATCGGCAATTTACAATCAAATAGATCGAATGTTGATCAATCTTTTTTTTCGTAATCTACGCTTTCTCTCGCCTGACGTTTCCATTATTGTGATGAAATAATCTTCTATCTTATAAACACACGCCAAAGACATTGCTAATTTTGAGTTTTATACAACGATTATCTTTAATTTAGCTAAATTCCTTGTCCAGCCAGTCACGCTTCAACGCAACCACTGTCAAAGCACGGGTGTGATGTCCAAATTACCGACACACGCTAGATAATTGGCATTGTTACAGAGGGTTTTCCTGACACAATTTGACCTTTTGTTTCCCAAAACCAGTGGCGGATGGCAATAAGCGGGGGTGGCAATATAACGGGTGTATTAACACAGGGGGAAATCCGTTCTTTGAGAATTCCTGGCAATAAGCGAGGGTGGCAATATAACGGAGGGCAATATACCGAGGTACCACTATATTTGTAAAATGTACTGACATGTTGGCAATGGTTCTAAAAAATGCTTTGGATATGGAAATTTATAACCAATTGGTTTAAAGCCATAATCTTGCTTACTTTTGAAATCCCATTTTCCCAATTGATCATTCTGTCAATATTGAAGTTATATAATGACAGGAATGCACAAGTTTTGCATAGTTTTGGTATATTCAAAATACATGTAGTTAACTACCACTTAGTGAACAGTTTGGATAATCCAGTAAAATATTCACATTTTAACAGAATTTTCAAAGGCTTTCTTGACGTTAGTGAACAGTTTGGATAATCCAGTAAAACATTCACATTTTAACCGAATTTTTAAAGGCTTTCTTGACCTAACCCAGTCGGAACATTAAAATACAAATGTATTATCATTTCTTTGAAAACGTTTAATATAAGTGCCCTAATTAATATGTGAGCTTTCTTTAGAATTCCTCATAAAAACTGTTAGAGCTAGCAATTTTTTCTAGTCTCATTTTTAACTAGTGTCTGATTTTATACATGTCCAGTGGTTGTGTTCATTGTCTAGCATTGAAACTTCTGTGTCTCTGACACCTGCAATCTAAATGCACATCCCAAACACCCCCCCCCCCCCAACTAAAATAACTGTGTCCACTATACATCCTCTGAGTCTTTATAGCATATGCTCCTAGACCCAGGGCTTTATATCCATTGCATGCAGGTCTGGTAAAAGGACCCTGTCTCAAATGAAAATTGATTTTACTTTCCCCAAATTCAGGTAAAAATTATCAGTTGACAAACAGATTGAAACTTTCAGTGGTTTTTACCAACGATCTGGAATTTCGAGATTTTATAAAGATGTGCATAGAGGATAAGCTTAGAATCTAACTGTCTTTATTCAAAAGTAAAATACTGTTTGTTGTCAGTATTTCCAAATCTTGCCATGTTTTTTTTTTTTTCAGTTTAAAATTCACAATTGAAAGGCACAGGATACTTTACAGGCGCGGATCCAGGAATTGAGGTTGGGGGGGTGCAAGAAGTAGGCAGGGGGACTGGGGCCGCCTTGAGGCCCCCAGTGGGTCCAGGGCAAAGCCCTGGTGGGGGGCCCAGGGGGCAAAGCTCCTAGATTCTAGAGATATTGTAGGGTAAAAATGAGGTCTTCCGAATATACATTTTTACATTTCCTCGATGAAACTATGAATTATGCTAACTTTGACAATTGAAGGGGGGGGGGGGGGTTGTTGGGTGCGCCTCCCTTAAATCCGCCACTGCTGTACCAAAATGGGTCAATTAAGTCCAGTAGACCACTGTATCTGTTCATATAAACATGATAAAGTATCCTTATTAATCCCCTCAGATCATTTTGCAGTCCCCAAAATTTAGAAATTTCTTTGAACAGAAAATCAAGTGAATTTAGGCGTTCCTCATTAGGAAGGGGATAAAATAGGCAAAGTTTGCACCACCAGATCCTGGTAGCAATGATTATATGACTATTTCACTTATAGATAATTTCTGTGGCTATGATTGAAGTTTTTCTTTTTTTTTTTAATGAAGGAGGACAAGAAGAAGATAGCAGCTATAGACTGGCTTGTGTTTGACACGGCTCAGAGGGCAGAGGCCGTCAAACAGGCCAACGCGGTCATGAGGACTTTTATTGGTTTGTTACGTTTGTCTTTTATTGGAGAGTTTCTGATTTATACAGAATAAACCTTAAACTGGTAATGATAATTATGCCAAATCAAACCACAAAAGTGATTATCTGAATACTCTTTTGTAGCTGTAAAGAAATTAGCTGCAGCCAGGGAGGTGTTTGATAAATTACCAGTAGATTCTATAGACATCATTTACAGGAACTGGCACATACAAGTATGTATTATATAATTTCCAGTTATTAAAAGTATATATTGAAGCAAATAAAAAATGACTTTGGACCCCCCCCCCCTCCCCCAGTTATAAATTATATGACCCAGTCACAGTGATATATAAATTAATGAGGAGATTGAAATTTACAGCCAAAAAATTGAGGTAAATTTACTGGTCAAATGATAAGATGTATTATTGAATAACTGAAATTTTTGATATATTGACTAAATTAATAATATATATACAGACAGGAAATGATGAATTACCAGCGGAGGATGAGAACGCCATCAGAGAGTATCTATGTATGAAGTCTTACCTGGTAAGATCCAAGTAGTTAATTAATACAGATTGTGCTTGGTGCATAAATTGAAAAGTTAATTGAATTCTAATGCTATTAACTTTATAATTTCAAATATTTTTAAATATATACCACTTCTCAATTATCAGAAAATTTTGTCAGCAGTTTCAGAGTCATGTAGAGTTCTAGATGGTGCCTTTAATTTGCCATTGATTCATTTGTTAGGATGCAATGGATAGTTTTAATGAATGGTTTACCAAGTTTCACCACACAAAGCCGGTCAAGCCTACGGCACCTTATGCAGCCTCCTTTACAGAAAAAGTGGCTTTTGAACATCGCCTGAAGCAGTATGAACAAGAACTAGATCGCTGGCAGAGGGGACTTCTTGCTCAAACAGAGGTCAGTCTGGTATTCTTTATGTTAAATTTATATTGAACTCATTTCTCATTTCTGCTCATATGATTTCGAAATATTAGAGTACTATGTGTGAGAAAGCTATGGAAAAAGCAGTTCTACAAATATTGAGTGAAAAATTGACTTTATTAAACTCCTTTCATTGACTGTCATCATATTTCCTTAGATAAGTATTGAGTTGTAGAAAACGGTAATATGAAAGTGGGAATGTATTTTATTTCAGAACACAACAAAACTGATGTATAATGTTCTGCTATTTGCCAATGGTGGCTGGATGGTAGATCAAAAAGAGGTAAAAATGGTCAGATTTTATTTTGCACCTCTCTGGAGACAGACATGTACATGTATAAGTATTGTATCATCTATCCTTAAGTTCATCCTGGCTTGAACAATAAGAGGAACATCAAGATTTTCTTTGTGTGTTTCAGTGCGACTCTGACCCTGGCAGGAAGCAGCAGATGGAATCCCTACGACAACTGATCCTCCCCCAGCTTTGTTTTCTACTACACGACATCTTACATAAGACAGAACAGTACCCTGAGTGTCTACAGTTAGCAGATCACATCGCCTCCGAGCAACACATGTTGTATAAAGTAAGTTTGATTTAAACAATAACATGTCTTTCTTTCTTTGTTATACCCCCCGCAAACGAAGTTTAGGGGGGGTATATTGGAATCAGCATGTCCGTCTGTCTGTCCGTCTGTCTGTAGACGAGAGTTTGTCCGGACCATTTCTTGGAAACTGTTGGAAGGATTTGTCTGAAAATTTGTACACTTATTATTCACCATATGAAGGTGTGCACCTGGTATTTTCATTATGATTGGATAATTATTTTGCATTTTACAGGTGTTTTTTTCATTTTTATTATGTGGTTTTGTCTGGATCTGTTCCCAGAGACTATTGCATAGATTTGTATGAAAATATGTACACTTATTATTTACCATATGAAGATGTGCACCTGGTATTTTCAACATTATTTGATAATTTTTCTGCATTTTACAGTTGTTTTTTTTTAATTTAATTTATTGACTTAGTCATTTTGGGTTCATCTCTAAGGTTTGAGACATAGAATCTAGAACATCTGTACAAAAATGTGAACTACAGCTTAAAACTACTCATTAGAACTAAAAAAAACCCACAAAGTATTAAAAACAGTTTTTACATTACACAGCAGATAGTGTAAATCCATTTGTCCCTTGGGAGTAATGAGTGGACATGCATCCAGTTAAAGATTAATTAATGAGTTCAGTGTGGGAAGCTGTTAGGGCATCTCTGATCAAGCAGGTCTTATCTATATCTCAGGGGAATTGGGCAGAAAGAAATAAAGATCTCTGTTGTCTAAGTCTCTTACTTGTAATTTATGTCTGTCAAATACATAGTTACTAAAACCAGCCTTTTATTTTTAAAATGAGTTTGATATAAAGGTATTAAAATCAATTTGATTTTCTATAATTAATTATGATATTCTTTTTTTCAACAATCAATTTGCAGAGTGTCATGTCTCACAAAGATGGCAGATAGTTGCAAACTATTTTTTCAATGTAATAAAAAACACTGTAATTATTAGTGTTGATGTTTTATTAGGCTGCACCTTAGTTTCATTCATTAAATAAAATGCCCCACCACAGCATGATACGCCCATCAAATATTGTTAAATTATCATAAACAGTTTAGATTCAATTGTTTGAATGACATCTTAGCGAGACAAGGCAGTCTGCAATTTGTTGTAAAGATATAAAAATTCAAATAAAAAATGTACAATAAATAATTAGTTTAAATTATATTATACAATATCATATAACTTTTAATTATTATATACAGTATCAAATTAGTTTTAATTACATCAAATTTATCTTGAAAGTAAGCCTAGCCAACAAGAACAATTCAATACAACACAAGCAATTAATTAAGAGACTGATTCCTTTTGCCCAATTCCCAAGAGATGTAGATAACACCTGCTTGATCAGAGATGCTCTACCAGTTATCTCCTCACACAAAACTCATTAATTTTTCTCTAATTTGACATGCAATTTTCTGCTATCAAAATTTTCCTTGACCAGTGCCTGATCATTACACCCATGGGAGAAGTGGAATTTTTGTTGTTACAGATTGCTGTAAAGAACATAATGAAAAAAAATAAGACTAGTATTTTCTTGATTTAACACTTTTTTAATAAAGATACTGCAATACTCTGACATCTTTTGGGACTGTGTAATTTAAAAGTTAAAAGACATAGTTTTTTGATTCTAAGTCTAATGCTTTTCTAGTTATGATTTTTCCATATCTGGCCATAGCGTCTTTATTAAAGGTCAGAGCGACCTGGTTTTAATGTGCGACACACCTCCTACCCTAGATGTATCCGCTGACAAAGTTTGATAATTCTAGGCCTAATAGTATTAAAGTTAAGAGCCGGACATGAAAAAGCTAACGGATGGACAAACATGAACGCTATAACATAATACGTCCCGTCGTAAGACGGACGTATAAAAATATATAATGAGTAATTAAATTTTCACTGTAAATGTTTAAGGAAATTGTGAACACATCTCACATCTAGAAAACATTAGTGATTTGGTACCTTCTCTGAAAAACCCAGCGGGGGGTATTTGTCCCTTTTGGACAGTTCTAGTTAATGGTTGTAGCATTGCGTATGTAATTTTTTCTGCAGTTGTAGCAATTGTTATTCCCCTTATTAACAAAAAAAAGACATTTTATTCAGAATATTCAATTCTTATAAAGTGGGTGAAAGTACCGGTAAGTCAAATATTGTATTATTGATGGAGGAGCTAATCTATCAAACTGATGGCTTTATAAAATCGGATCTAACTAGTTTTATTGATTTGTAAACAGCAATTGGTTTTCGTAAGATATAAAGGAGAAAATATTCAGTGGATATAAATATTTGAATGTATATAATATTTGTGAGCATACCCCGAGAATTTTCTTGTGTTGTTCACCAATGCAGTCTTAGTGTGATAAGTTACTCCAAGTATTGAAACTTTCTCATGAAGTAGTTTTTGTGAATCTGAAGTGAGTAGAAAATGACAGAATGAATCTTCATGCAAAATATGAAATAAAAATTAGATAATAATTATTTTGTTTTAAATATGCCCCCCACTTGAAAAGGAATGGGGGTATCCATCCTTACATCCTTTACATTAGGAGCTACCCATCCCTTATCTGCAACTCCTCTTACACCACTGAATGTAATTGATGAAACTTACAAAATCTGTATTACATAATGGCATTGTGCACAACCCTGTTTTACAATTGATCGGACAGATAATTAGGGTTTACCCATAGCAAAACATGGACACTGCCATTCTTTCTATAATATTGGGGGTATCCTCCTTTCATATGCAACACCTCCTATACCATTGTAAAAAATTTCACGAGACTTTCACAGAATCTTTATTACATTGTGCCATTGCGCACCTATTTTACATTTCAATCGGACAAATATTTGGGGTTTCCCACAGCAAAACAGGACACTGCCATTATACTCATGTAGAAGCAGGGATAACATTTTGCGAGTTCAGTGCTCACAGTACCTCTAGTTTCTGAACGACTGCAAAAAAAAAAAAAAAAAACCCTACTCATAGTTTCTAAATAAAAACTGCCAGAATTGCTTCTGTCAAAACTCCTGGCAATACAATCAATGCTGCATCTGTTCAAATTAAGGGAAAGATATGTAGAAAATTGTTTGATGTTGTAGGTATTCAGACAAGACGAGCTTCAACACTTACTTCATCTGTTCAGAGAGTCCTCTCTAGCTGTTCTTGATCAAAACAAGGACCCTCTGGGATACGAAATAGACTGAGGGACAGCCAATGGGGTTACATGTGAACAACAGTGATAGCAATGTGTGGGCAAACAAGAGTGGACGATAAGGCATTTCTAGTTATGTTTATGTGGTAAAAGCTGCATGTAGGGGCAGATAAGAATGTGTTCATTAAACAGTTTATGTTTTCTATGAAAAGAATGTTGTAGGATTATCAGTCTTCTTTGTAAAAAAAAATGATAAAACATTAAATTTTTTTTAAAAAAATTGTTGTTGCTTTATTGTTATTTAAGAATATTAGACAGTATCTTGTTTGATAAACAGATAGGTACTGCTTTTGCACTCAGAATTTGTTGCAAAAATAATAATTTATTGTAGTACACTACAGTATAAGACTGTGCTTGTTTGCAGTAAGACATCAATAGTAAACATAGTATCCAAGTCCTATTTTTTTTCCTAATTACAAATTATTATATGCATTGATTAATAGAAATTGAGTGTACTAAGGTACTGATTTGGCTGCCAGAGCTTAGCCAAAACTCTTTCATTAAAAATATTGGAGCTTTTTGACACAAAAGTTGCATTTCTCTATTCAGTTGTCTTGGCCTCAGCGACAACTGTATAGTAGCCTAAGATCCTTGTTGTGTATCTTTCTGTTAGTAGTTCCTCATACAGGAAACTCCCAGGGGTCTCAAATCGTGTCATGAAGGACTTCGATGCCCAGGGGTACAGGGTGATAGTACTCCGTCCAATCCCCTCCTGGTTTGAGTCCCCTATGTTCACACCATACAAATGAATGGTTACAAGGTGCTTCCCAATGTTGAGGAAATGGAAATACACATCATCCCCTGTGGGTATTGTCATGTTTTTTATGGTTCCGTCAGAGTATCCATTCACAACTGTGGAAGTATAATTGCTAACTTCAGAAATTCAATAATTACCCGAAAATGAACAAACGTTAATACATGTATAAATGGGATCTTTCAGCAAAGCAGAATTCTTGAAAATCTTCATGGTTTTTTTTTTATTATTAATCCTGTACACAGCATCAATTGAATTTCTAAAAATTTGATACTGATTCTGCCTGTGCTTGTTCTGGTTGAATATAATCGTCAAATAAATTTGCTAAAGTCTGTACCTCTGATAGCATTGACTTCAGTAAACCGTGGGTGTGATGTGTTGACAATTCCTGCGTAATCCTTAAGATTCTCCTCAAAGTACCAGCTCTGTGTTTCGTCAACACTGCCCACCATAAATACCTTCTGCTGCCTAGTAGATTCCACCGTCTCGGGGGATACAGAGGGGGAACAGATCACAAGGGGACCAAATAACCCAGAAGGGATGTCTCGTGTATTGGTTTTGGAGTAATATGGCTGAAAGAAAATTGATTCAAATATAACAAATCTAAATTAATGAAAGGTGACACATAAAATCTGTCATTTCAAGTCTAGGACCTGTATTACCTTCAGGATACAGGGTGGGTCTGCACTTCCTGGCCCTATGGATTCTGTAATATTCCAGGTGATTTTAGATGATTCCTCATCTCTGATGTCTTCCTCGGCAGAGTCACTGAGCCCATCAACATAAAGTGAGTAATTGCGCTTTCCCATGTTTTTCATTTCTAATTCAAAAGAAGTACGGATTTTACTTGTTTTGAAAAGCCAAGCATAAAGTTTTTTTTTACTTTATATGAAGTTTGATAATACACCAGATGGTGGTATGATCGTATGATCTGTAATGGGAAGAAGAAGAAGTCAATTCATGTAAGCTTTCCTGACCCCCCCCCCCCTTTTTAGGTCACCAGAGTCACTACCCATTTTCGTCCTCGGCGTGCGTTGTCCATTAACATTTGAACATTTTTAGCTTCTTCTCTGAAACCGCTTAACCAATTTCAACCAAATTAGGCATATAGCATCTATTGGTGAAGGGGAACATAAATTGTGAATTTCATGGTACCTGCCCCCCGGGGCCTGAGGGGTGGGGCTAAAACCACTAAAATTAATGCAATCTTTAAAAATCTTCTTTACTCCTGGATATCAAGCAGTCAAACTGTTGGCATGATTGTAATAAGCATTGAGCCCTCTACCAAAATTGTGAAATTCATGGCCCCAAGGTCAGGGGTTCTGGTGCTTGGGTGGGGCTATATACATGTAGATCATATAGTGAAAGTGCATTATTTCTTTGAAAATCTTCTTCTCTGCTCCTGGGTATTAAATAAAGTAACTAAGTACATCGTTATGAAGAGCAAGAGTGCCTCTTCCAAAATTGTGAATTTCATGGCCCCTGGATCAAGGGTTCTGGTGTTAGGGCGGGGCTGTATTGATTATGTAGTGAAAATGCATTAATTCTTTGAAAACCTTCTTCTCTGCTCCTGGGTATTAAATAAAGTAACTAAGTACATCGTTATGAAGAGCAAGAGTGCCTCTTCCAAAACTGTGAATTTCATGGCCCCAGGGTCGGGGTTCTGGTGTGTGTGTGTGTGGGGGGGGGGGGTTCTATTGATTATATAGTGAAAATGCATTAATTCTTTGAAAATCTTCTTCTCTGCTCCTGGGTATTAAATAAAGTAACTAAGTACATAGTTATGAAGAGCAAGAGTGCCTCTTCCAAAATTGTGAATTTCATGGACCCTGGATCAAGGGTTCTGGTGTTAGGGCGGGGCTGTATTGATTATATAGTGAAAATGAATTAATTCTTTGAAAACCTTCTTCTCTGCTCCTGGGTATTAAATAAAGTAACTAAGTACATCGTTATGAAGAGCAAGAGTTCTTCTTCCAAAATTGTGAATTTCATGACCCCAGAGTTGGGGTTCTGGTGTGTGTGTGTGGGGGGGGGGGGGGGCTCTATTCATTATATAGTGAAAATGCATTAATTCTTTGAAAACCTTCTTCTCTGCTCCTGGGTATTAAATAAAGTAACTAAGTACATCGTTATGAAGAGCAAGAGTGCCTCTTCCAAAATTGTGAATTTCATGGACCCTGGATCAAGGGTTCTGGTGTTAGGGCGGGGCTGTATTGATTATATAGTGAAAATGAATTAATTCTTTGAAAACCTTCTTCTCTGCTCCTGGGTATTAAATAAAGTAACTAAGTACATCGTTATGAAGAGCAAGAGTGCCTCTTCCAAAATTGTGAATTTCATGACCCCAGAGTTGGGGTTCTGGTGTGTGTGTGTGTGGGGGGGGGGGGGGGGGGCTCTATTCATTATATAGTGAAAATGCATTAATTCTTTGAAAACCTTCTTCTCTGCTCCTGGGTATTAAATAAATTAACTAAGTACATCGTTATGAAGAGCAAGAGTGCCTCTTCCAAAATTGTGAATTTCATGACCCCAGAGTTGGGGTTCTGGTGTGTGTGTGTGGGGGGGGGGGGGGGGGGCTCTATTCATTATATAGTGAAAATGAATTAATTCTTTGAAAACCTTCTTCTCTGCTCCTGGGTATTAAATAAAGTAACTAAGTACATCGTTATGAAGAGCAAGAGTGCCTCTTCCAAAATTGTGAATTTCATGGACCCTGGATCAAGGGTTCTGGTGTTAGGGCGGGGCTGTATTGATTATATAGTGAAAATGAATTAATTCTTTGAAAACCTTCTTCTCTGCTCCTGGGTATTAAATAAAGTAACTAAGTACATCGTTATGAAGAGCAAGAGTGCCTCTTCCAAAATTGTGAATTTCATGACCCCAGAGTTGGGGTTCTGGTGTGTGTGTGTGGGGGGGGGGGGGGGGGGGCTCTATTCATTATATAGTGAAAATGCATTAATTCTTTGAAAACCTTCTTCTCTGCTCCTGGGTATTAAATAAATTAACTAAGTACATCGTTATGAAGAGCAAGAGTGCCTCTTCCAAAATTGTGAATTTCATGACCCCAGAGTTGGTGTTCTGGTATGTGTGTGTGTGTGTGGGGGGGGGGGGGGGGGCTCTATTCATTATATAGTGAAAATGAATTAATTCTTTGAAAACCTTCTTCTCTGCTCCTGGGTATTAAATAAAGTAACTAAGTACATCGTTATGAAGAGCAAGAGTGCCTCTTCCAAAATTGTGAATTTCATGGACCCTGGATCAAGGGTTCTGGTGTTAGGGCGGGGCTGTATTGATTATATAGTGAAAATGAATTAATTCTTTGAAAACCTTCTTCTCTGCTCCTGGGTATTAAATAAAGTAACTAAGTACATCGTTATGAAGAGCAAGAGTGCCTCTTCCAAAATTGTGAATTTCATGGACCCTGGATCAAGGGTTCTGGTGTTAGGGCGGGGCTGTATTGATTATATAGTGAAAATGAATTAATTCTTTGAAAACCTTCTTCTCTGCTCCTGGGTATTAAATAAAGTAACTAAGTACATCGTTATGAAGAGCAAGAGTGCCTCTTCCAAAATTGTGAATTTCATGACCCCAGGGTCGGGGTTCTGGTGGAGGGGGGGGGGGATTGCTCTATTGATTATATAGTGAAAATGTATAATTTCTTTCAAAATATTTTTTTCTACTACTGGTTTTAAAGCAAAGAAACAAATGTATAGTCATGATGAGCAAGGGCGCTTCTTCCAGAATTGTGAATTCATGGCCCCTGGGTCAGATGTTCTGACGTAAGTGTGGAGCTTTATTTATTTAAAAATATAGTAAAAATGCATTTCTTTGAAAATCTTCTATGCTTCTGGGCATATTTGAGGCAAACAGAATAAAAGTTTTAATATGCTAAGGTATTTTTATCAGAATTTTGAACACCTGGACCATTTAGTCAAGTGTTCTGGTCCTGATCTCAGGGCACTATTAACTTGTATTCTGCTGAGCAAAGTTATTCCCCTTTGCCATTCACCTTTGATAATTAATCACTGTAAACAATGAATTTGAAAGGTTAATAGAATAAGAGAATTATGCAAGAATATTTATTGTATAATACAAAAAGTACTTTCATAGTTTTAATGACCAGGTAGACTTGGAAATAATAGTTGAATAAAAATGAGACCAAAAAAAATTTGTCTTTTTAAATGTTCTTCAAAGGCCAAGAGAAGCCAATGTGAGAAGTAATAATACAGGGTTAAAAATAAACAGTTTGTTAATAGTCTGCATGGTAATAGTGATAAATGGGGGACAGATAGATACTTAGACCAATTAATTTGTTGATGCTAATCATACTATTTTTCTTGCTTTTGAGTAACAAAGCTTCATTTATCAGTTTATGAATCCTCTAAATTGTTGTATTGTACTCAGGTGACCGTTAAGGCCCTTGGGCCTCTTGTTAGAAAATGCATTACCTATTTTGATTCTGTCACCAACATTGGCTGAGAGCTGTGGACCATACAAAGTTTTGTCTCTCGAGTCTGGCGGACTTTTTTCAAAGTAAAATAAGAGGCTGAAGTATTCAGCAAACATCACCTTCTTAAATCGTGGTCCCATTTGGTAACCTGGAGATTTGCTGAAAAACAAATATGAAAGTCATTCAACCAATATAGTTTCATATAAGAAAAAAAATGACAATTTACAAAATGGTACCTTGTCCAGTCTGAGAGTTGTGAATACTCCCAAAAGTCTTCTTTGATCCCAATGTTATGTGTAGAATCTTTGCTACTATAGACAAACCCCACCGAGGCCCCACAGTCATTAACAGATAGTGTCACAGAAGTATTACCACTGTTAAAACTTCTTACGGACCAGTTTCCTGTGATATTTGATCATAAAGGATACAAAAACTATATTGGCATGTACATCAAAATAAAAAAAAAATAATTGAATCAAATAAAGAGGTATAGCGCACTTGGCCTACAATATAGCACATTTACAGACATCCAGAATATTTCAATGTTTCAAGATATTCAGTAAATCTAGCTATAAACAAATACAAATAATACCATTACCCTGCAAAAATAGTCATAATTATCTATAAAAAAAAATTAATGAAATTTACAATTTTTTCATGGGATATCTATGGAGATCGAAAAAAATAAAGATTTTGTATTTTAAGTTTTTTAACCAACTTAAATCAGAGAGAAAAGAGACATATTAAGAGAAAAGTGGACACGTTGACAACACACGTAAGATGCAGCATTAGTTCCCGAAATGAAAAGTGACCTAGAACATGCATGAAAACAAAATCTTGAAAACAGTCCAGTAAAAAATATTGATGCATAATTCTGTAGAATATCAAACAAAAAATATTAACATTATGAAAAAAAAAATGATTTGATTTTAGTGAATATGCATATACGCAAAGAGGCTGGTTGTAAAGTAATGAAACAGAAATATCTCGTATACATAGTTCAGAAAGTGTTTTTCGTGAATTTAAAGCCCGAATCAGAGTATGATGAACATGTAGAAGCAGTTCCGCATATCCAGTGCGCCAAGTTAATCTATTACTAAACTTAAACTTTCCATTTAAATCTGGTAGTAGGCGAAATACTGGGAAAGGGCGCTTTTATACCTTTTTTCATTGCCGCATACTTAACGGTTTAATATAGCATGATCACACTACTTAGGTTCCATCATCCATGTATGAAATGTGATTGGTCACCTGTTTTCACCATGGTAATTGTGTACGTTGCTATGGAATTTTCTCTAGCCTCCATCACATTTAGAACGTGACCTCTCTGCTTTATGATACCTCCTCCCACAACAAAACTCTGAGGGTCCGATGTGCCAAACGACATCAGATGGAAAGTCAAGTCTTCTTTCAGACATACAGACATAGAAGGAAAAACGCCGGTTGGTAAACCATTTATCTTTTCATCTTTGTACACCATGAAAATTTCTCTCTCTGTTTCCTATGAAGTGACATGAAGTTTTGTTATTCGACATAACAGATATGTATTACCTTATTATTCTGTATGATTATATATTTACATTTTTAAATATTTTTCCCTTAAGATTCCTTGCAAATTAGACGAAGTTCATGTTCTCATGAACTACCATGGGATGAGTAAGAATATTTCCATTGTGATGTGATTTAAGTAAAAAAAAAAGTGCAAACTTTTTTTTCAGAAATGATCGTTGAATAACAAAAATATGTGGCAAGTCACCAGAAAATAATATAAATATAAGATATGAATTTAATTTTTGAGTATTAATGAGGTACATGAATTACAACGCTTCACGCCTGCATATTTATCAGGAAGCGCGTTTGCGCTTCATGAAATATGAAGGCGTGAAGCGTCGTAGTTCATGTCCTCATGAATTCTCTAATATTAAATTCATCTCTTAAATATATATACTTTTTCCTATTAAATTGTATTGCTCTTTGTTAAGTTCATAGGATACGTCCTAAAATATATGGAACGCCAAATTAACATATATTAAAATATTTGAACCTATCTCCAATTACGGTAATTGTACCTATCTTCAAATCAATTGTATCTATCTTTAAATCAGTTGTACCTTTCTTCAAATGAATTAATTCAATTCAATTTAATTTATTCACTCAAAAACCATGTAAATGGTACATGAGGTACATAAACATATAAAACATATATACATATAATACAGTGGGTCAAGCAAAAGGTGAGATTAATTCAGCTAGCTAGGGAGAACAGACCATACTATTAATCTTGGTAATAAATGTACATAATTTTTTCAAAGAATCAACATCATTTTGGCACATAACTTCACAAAACTTCATAGTGTTTGGCTTAGAACAAAATTTTTGGTTCAAAAAAATTTTCCTCGGTTGGTTTAAATCATTACATTCTAAAATATAATGATATTCATCTCCTATCTGATTATTATCACATAAGCTACAAAATCTTTCATTTCTCTGAGTACCATTCCATCTACCTATTTCAATTGGAAGATGGTGGTTTGTGGTTCTAAATTTAACTGAAGTTTTTCTAAATTTACATGATAACAGTGTTAAATATTTTTTGCACTCAAAATTGGTTTTGAATGAATGAAATGAATTAAAGATAGGTATAATTCAATTGAACTTATCTTTAATTGACTTAAAGATACATGTATGTGTAATTCCATTAAAGATAGGTGTAATTTATTTGAACCTAGGTTTAATTATTTAGAGATAGGTATAATTATATACACCTATCTTTAATTCATTAAGACCTATCTTTAATTCAATTGCACCTATATCCAATTTAGTTGGAGATAGGTTCAGTTATTTGAAGATAGGTACAATTAGTTCAAATATTTGAATATATGTTAATATGGCGTTCCATAAAAAGAGGGGATATCAATCTTTTTCATGTTTTTGCACTGAATTTCGATATAAAGTAATAGATACGATGAGAATGCAAAAATAAGAATGACTTCATAGGAAAAGTTCATTATAAATTTATCTTGTAGCAAGTAGGTCTGCATGTACAAACTGTTTGCAAAATTCTGTAACATTTTTTAAAGTAACCTAAGGCTTATGTTCGTCTTATTTTCAAGCAGCTTTGACTTTCTTGAGGAATTTTGCTAATCTTATAATACTTCATGGTCCTAACCTCTACACTTTTATGAAGAGAAATAAAAACACATTACTGGTGGCAGATAGCCCTCTTCGCAGATTTTGACAGGACCAAACAAGAAGGTTTCCTTGTTATGACCAAGACCAGAAGTGTAATGGCGCACTAGGCAAGGGTCATCATAGAGCGCGGGGGATACGTCTTCTGGTACACTCCAATAGTACGTCTTCAGACTGTTCGCAGGAACTGCCTTCTTTCCTACAAAGAAAAGTCTGTAGGATTGATTGTACTACAAAAGTACGGCAATGGCGAATAAATTTATCTTTTTATTCCAAGAGCAAAAGTGTTTGTTTCAGTTCCATCCATGGTCCACAAGTCACGTGATGTGCTCTTACGGCCGTATATAAACCAGGGATAAAGATTTTGGCAGACTCGGATTGCAAGGGGCGGTGCATGTTTTAAGCACGCTACTCACATTCCGCCAACCATTCTAGACATTCTTTGACAATTTCCTATCTTTGGATCATTTCCTTTCACTAACCTACTGATCTAGAATTGTCATCGTAGAACACCCCCTCGTAGACCTTCCCGACTCTCAGTCCGTGGGGATTCAATGACAGGTCCCCATCTGCTCGATTGTAAAACACCACTTTCAACAGATCTCTCGTTTCGGCGTAGATTGTTGGACCCAGTTTTCCATTTGTAGTGTGGTTACTTTCTTTCCTGATATTAAATCTGCTGTTTGTGTACTCTTGAAAAACGACAGGTCCAGCCGCGCTTCTACAGTCAAATATGCACATGATTAAATTGCTTATGAACATTATTTTACTGTATGTACTAGTATTTTTGGGAAAAGAACCATTTTCTCAAAGGTTTGAGCAATTCAAAAAAAAAAAAATGAATATTACCCGTTGGAGAGCTGTGCTCTTTCGGCAGCTATGTAGTATTTCCGGATGTTGCCAGAAAGTTTTTGTGCTGGGCGAGAGTTAGTGCATGCAGATACTCGTAGTCTGGCATAAACTGCAAAAGAAGGAAAAACGAGAGGCCCATGGGCCACGCTGATTAAGGTGGAAGGGACTAATTCCAGTATTGCTCTAATGACTTACATGGACTTGTATGGACATGTTCGGATCACATCTTTTATCTTAATCTAATATTAAATTAACCTAAAAGAGTTCAAGATTAATATAATGGTGGAATTTCTGGACCAGTCTATACTAATGTGCAATGCATGCCTTTGTGTCTTACGGTTGTCTGATTTATGTTGTGTTGTCAAAAGCCAAACCCCCTCTTCTAACGTCAGAAACTCTGCTATGATTGAAGCTCCAGGGTACAAACTCAAAGCATCGATTCTTTTGGGACAAGGAATGCAAACAAAAGAAACAAGAAATCATCGTCTACGCCATGTAAAAAACATATTTTGTATTAAGAAAATAAAAACAACGACAAAATATTTATTTACTTGCTTTGTATGACTTTTCATTTGTAAGATTTACCTTTGATTTCTAATTTCAAACTGATGTCCATACAGAACTACAGTGTGTATGTCGTTTTGCCCACCTAATGACGTCATATACAGACGAACTTTTCTGTTGATGCAAACCTCTATATCAGGCAGATTACCGTGTGTATAGCCATTAATGGTTGAGAATGCTGTATGTTGAAGGCTATCGGTACCGTTCGTATTGTTGTACCAACTTTCTGTCTCGTATATTGTTCCATAATGGAGAAATATCTCTCTAATATCGGGTAGTACATCTAAAAGAAGTGAAACCAGTGTTTACATATATATGTATCTGTTTAAAGTGCATGTACTTGATTTCATCACAATCTCTTTTTTTTCCCAGGGGAGGAGGGGTTAGCAGCCAAAGCTGTGGATTTATATTTTCGTTATCCCTTATAGCCAGGCCTGTAGGAAGCGATTTCAGTTTTGGGGCACAAGCTTTAAAGGGGGGGGGGGGGGCACCGGCTAACTAAAAATTCCTTGACAGGCAAAATAAAAGTCATCAGACGTAATTATTGAGGGGGCACAAGCATATAGTACTTATGCATTCTACAGTATTCTATATTTCGGCAAAATTAAAATTAATGAGGGGGGCACCCCTCCCCCCCCCCCCCCGGGTTCCTATGGCCATGTTAATTGCAGATCTTATTAAATGATAAATATTTCTATCATATAAGTGATGTCACATTGAAATTATGTTGTTTTAATCACATCAAATGCTGCATAATTTATAATTCCACTATCCAAAAAAAAAAAAATGTTGGTCTGTGGTCCTTGGTCAATGAATAGCTTTATATTAATTTATTAATTCTTTATTGCATAATACACCCATATGGGTCAATCAATACAATCCATAATAAAACAAAAAAAACAACCAACAAAGAACAATAAATATATTTATAAAATAGGCGCAATTCAGTAATTTACTCCTTATATGTTTATAAAAGTTGATAAAGCAACATTGAAAATTCTCGGGGTTGAATATACAAGCAACATATCACTTGACCTTGGTCTGTCAATTGTATGGCTGTAAGTGATCTTGAGGATTTTTAGTTGACAATTTTTAGGTCATAGGTATAACATTCTCAGTTGGAACCCAGCGAATCAAGGATTGCAGTTACTGATTACGACAGAAAGACAGACGTAAAAATAGCATCGTGCCAAGAAAGAAATGCTCCTTTCCACTGATACAACACAGTCATGTCATCTGCAGTACAAACTGTTCAGTGTATTACAAAATACAGACATCACAAAATGCTGCACCGAGAATGCAAACTTGTTTTTTTTTAATCAACTTTTCTTCTTTTGTGATTTAGTGATATCAAATCACAAAAATATACTATGCTTGCTGATTTAAATTTAAAAAAAAATTAAATAGAGCAAATATCATGAATAATTTATTTCTAAAAAATAATATTCACAAATTTTCATTTTTTTAATAAAATAAATACATGTATTTCTAATTAACTTTAAAAATTAAAAGTTTAATGTTCTCCATGATTTAACATTTAAATTTGATAATATCTAAAAAGACAGACTGGTTGGTGAAGAGTAAAACCCATCTTTACGTCGTTCGTGTGACATCTGACAGAGGAAAATATTGTCAAACACCTGCTTCCCGAAGTCTACGTCAAGTTTATTGGAGTAAACCCAAGGAGGAATGTACTTCTTCCCTGTCGAATTCCCCACGGTTCGGGTTACTTTAACAATGGTCATATGCGGAACAAAATCGTGATTGTCGCGAATTTCTATGCCCTCATTTTTTAAACACAGTTTTAGATGGTCCACAAATGTGTACATTTCTTTGGAACATTTCACTTTGGCATACACCACACGGTTAAAGAACTGGTCCATGCCCTTAAATACGAGAGGCGTGTCCTTGGGGGCCATGTACGCTAACTCAGGTTTAAGTTTATTTAGCACCTCCACGCAATGGGCAACTTGTTCTGGTGTGTCTAAACCAAGTGTGCACAAGGTTACGTGAAGGCAATGAAGAGGAATGCAGCAGCTTTCAAAGCGAGGTTCATGATCCATGATAACGTCTTGAATACCCTCCGTTGTGTGGACTATGTCAGGATCCGTTACTCGAAATGCCAAGAAATAATTGGGTCGTAACTTGTTTCTCCAATATTTGTCAAATCCGTCATCACACATTTCTTCATCGAATCCAGCCGACTCGGACTCCTCTTCTGAATCATCGATGGTTTGAAAGTTTGTTGCACCCCCATCAACCGTGACAGATATACCATCATCGCTGTCGTCATCAGAACTGTCATCTGCATTCTTACTTTCGTTTTTCTCAGAAGTGTCAATTTTAAGTCTTTCATAGTCAGCAATAACGTCGTAAATTGTCTTTTTACTGCCTGTGGAACCAAATACATTGTCAATCCTGCGAGGTTTATCCCAAACTTTAATATCTTTATACTTAAAATATTCAATCCTGTGTTTAGGTACGGCCAGCACATTATAATCTACGCTGGCAATATCTTCCCAGCTGAAGGAGGTAAAGTATTTTTCTTGAATTCCAAGAAATCTGTCGATATATCCAACAACAAATTCATCTTGGGGAAGGTCTGCGTCCCACTGGATCCGCTTGATGACGTCATCTGCTGTCTTCATTGATGTCTTCTTCTCATCTGTAACTTCCTCTTCCTCTTGTCTTTCCTTCCGCTTCCGCCGTTTCTCTTTGTTCTTCCGGCCTGTATTTTCATGTTTTCCTTTCCCTGTGTTTGGTTTGCTGTTGAGGTTGAATTTGTTTAAATTAATGTATTGTTCTGCTTTATTCAGCAATGTCTGGATCATTGGTTTACCGAGTGTATCAGTGTCCATTGATTTTACGAGGTCTGCTATTTCCTCTTCACTTAAAACTGGACAGCGAATAATGATGTTAGGTTTCGTCTGTGGATACCTTCCTAAAGCATAACACAAGAACATATGATTACTACAACAAAACAATCTACCAAAGCTTGTATCTTTATGATTATATATATTATTTTCTACAATGAATGAGAAACAATATAATGGGGTCTCAATCTTACTTGTCATTTGAAACTTGTACACAATATCTTGTCCACTGGGTTGTAAGGTAAGAACATGTGTAAATTCTCCCAAATCCTTTATAAGCCGACAGGAACCATGGAATCCAGCTTTTATTTCGTTGATTTCTGCGGTCTGGACTGCCAAGTTTTCCTGATTTGTATTTCCCGCCATTATGGATAGCAACGTCTTACCGGAAGTGCTATTAATGCCGGTATCCAGGATTGGAGATGTTAGTACACCTGAAGGGAAAACCATTGAATAATATCATCTTTGTTGTTATACAACAGAACTGGAAGCTTCGCATTATAAGTTAAATGCTCACAAACAAAATATTAACTCTGAACAACATAACGATTCTGCATTTACAATGTTTTGAAAAATGTATTTTATTAAAAGATACTATATTTATTTATAGCGACTACCTTTGTTATGTTCATTTAATAGTCCGACTTACCTAATATAAAGATTTTTTCTACAATCTATGGATCCAATCTCGCTGGTATTTATATCGGGTCTTTATGTTTCAACCCGTGATGCAATACTATCCTGGATCCTGTGACGTATTTCTGTTAAAAATAGCTTGTTTACGTATGGCACATATATGTATATGAGGGCGGATTCATCTTTTTCTCCACGTTTACGGGGCAAAAAACAAAAAGAAACAAAAAGGAAAGAAAAGAGATGAAAAGAGAAGAAATGAAAACCCCAAAAATGTGTTTATAAATTTTAATTTCTTTATTGCTTAATATATCCATACGAATACAAAAAAAAAAAAAAAAAAAAAAAAAAAAAAAAAAACGGAGAACAATGAATGTTTTATAAACAATAATTTATAAACGTAATTTTAAGTAATTTACTCAGTATATGTAACACCGATGTGGACCTTGTATTTCTTAATTCTATTGATTGTTTTATAAAAATGTACACAGCCGGTATAACTTTAAATGTTGGACCAAGTATAATTCAGTCAAGTTTCTGTATGGGTTGATTTCAGATAGAATGAGGAACAATAATTATCTAGCATGGTTTTTAGAAGTATATTCCTTGCTTGTATATTACAATTACGTTGTAAAAAGAAATGAAATTCATCATCAATTGCATTACATGAAATGCATATATAATCTTTGTTATCGAGGTATTTTCTTATGTCTATCAGTTTCTATCAGTAGGCAGTGGTCACTTCGAAATTTACTTAGCAATTGTCTATTCTTGAAACTATTTTCGAGCTTAAGATATTCTTCCACATTGAAATTGTATTTTATTTTACTGTACAAGTATAGTTTGGAGTTTTCTGAAAATTTAGATACTTTTTCCATAGTTTTGTGTTTACAATTATCTAATACTATTTTCTTCATTTTCTTTTTAACTGAATTTCGAATGTTGTCAATTTTTTCATCTTTTTTTCATGTAGTCTATATTATTTAAATTATTTTCTTTAAATATAGACAGTGCGAGGGTATGCCACGAGTAAAATACCTCTTCATGCAAAGACATATTGATAATAAAACACACACAAAAATAAAATAATAGATGTAATAATTATTAATCAATTTCACTTTTTATTTTGCAATGTGCGGTCGTTCGAATGCACTAACAAATGTATACAAGCCATCGCCAGACAAGTTCATGTGCGAGCGAAACATGAAAAACCCAAACCAAAACTATGTTTCCAAACTTCATTATTAAGTAAATGTACATCAACTGCTGAACATGCAGAAAAAGATTTTGCATTACAATTCCTTTAATGTAGACATGTTGGCCCATCTTTACACAACCGAATTAAAATCTGTGATATATTTCAATGACAGTAGTTAATGTTATTGTATTCAACATCACTGATACTAACGCCGCCACTTGTTGGAATGGAAAAGGTGTCGATGGCCATTTCATTGCCAAAAAAATCAAATTTTCCCCATCTTTATCTGGAACATTTCAAATTTTTCAAAAAGATATGATTTTTTTTTTAATTGATACCTTTAAAAGTTTTATGTAACCTTATAGCCAATGCGAATAATGGTTGGAGGAAAATCATTCGGAAATACATGTACTTGCATAAAAATATTATAATTATGATACACACACAATTTCATAAGAAGTACGCACTTTACTTTGTCTGCAAGGATGAATCAGCGTGTTTAATGAAATCGTTTTGTCAGAAAATTATATTTTCCTACGAATTATTACAATCTTTGCAGCAATCAAAAATACGATGAATTTAAATGAAAGGTCTTTTTTTTTAATATTTACGGAACACATGGCCTAAAATCCTTGAAAGTCAAGGGACTTACAACAAAGAAATAAGTTACTGTAGCCTTGTGCATACTGCCTAAAGTTAATGACTTATTTAAGTTAGTTCCTGAAAATAGTATACAGCGAAAGATGACCGCAATCTGAAATCAAATTGAACCTCGCATGTTACTTATCATTATGTATTGAAATAAGTAGAAAATGTTCTACCATTCACTCAGAAATAAAAACGCTGAAAGGGAGGGACAGTAAAGGTAAATGATGCAAAGGAAGTATGTGAGACGCTATGGCAGTGAAATATGAGAGTACTAGATGTAAAAATATCAATTCAAGAAATCGTTTTATAACCCCCCCCCCTTCCCTCTCTTTCTTTAAAAAAAAACACAGAACGTTTTCCCTCATATTGAAACTGTATAAAATGAATTCTTTTGCATATACATGTATATAATAGACCTAAGGCGACATTTTGAAAATGTGTATTTTGTGTAAAGCAATTTCACTGATAATTTAAATTTCTGTTGGGGTTTGCTGACAAACAATAAAAGACATAAACCTAATATTTTGCTCATGAACGACTCTGTATAACTCAGTGAAATTCATTTGAAATTGCTCTGATGAGAAAAATACCGCATAATTACTGAGAGTTTATTCTGACAGAAGTGTAAGCTTGACACCACAAACCAAACTCTTGGTAAATTTCTTATAAATGTAATATTATATTTTATTTTTCTGTCTATTTACAAGAATAATGAATCTTTTTTTTTTTTAAACTGTTAAACAATTTGCCTTTAAAAGTGTACCACGGAGAGTTAACATCAATGGATAGGTAGAGTTCCTTTTTTGATTTGATTTGATTTGAACATATTTTATTATGTACTGAAAAAAAATGGATTGGGCAGCAGGCAAAGCCTATATAAGCCCTCTTAAAAGATCCTTTTTTAAAATCAAAAGATGAATCATTACCAGATTTACACACAACAATCATTCCCACCAAGCCAGTATTGGTGTCTCTAATCAGGTTAACGTCAGAATAATACAGTGACGTCATACACTGCTCCATGGACAATGCTGGGGGTACATTGGCGTCTGTGACGGTGTAAACGTAGGTCAGAGTAGATCCCGGGTACACAGGACTCCCCAAGTAGGCCGCACCTTAATTGTGACAAAACACATATTTCATTGGGGTTTCAAAATAATTCTGAGAATAAACATGGGGAATGGGGGAAATCCTAAATCAATTAACAAGTTCTTCTCCTTAAACATGAACTACACAAATTATACAGAAATTAACAGTTAGGAAAATTCTTCAAAGATGCATGCAATGAAAATTAGCATGAATAAAATCACATTTAAATCTTCCTGATTATCTTCGCTAGCCAAGGGTTTTCGGTCCACTCCGCTCCCCATAATGGGGAGCGGAGTGGACCGAAAACCCTTGGCTAGCGAAGATGCTTCCTGATTGGTTATTTGATAATGATAATATGGTTAAATAAATAAGCGAAGTTGACGATAGAAAATTTGAAGCCATCACTTTTATCATAAAGTTTAGTTTACTGTTTGCCAACAATGTCTTTTTCTAGTAAAATATCCAAATATGAAATAAATGTGTCTCTGTCAGAATCTGTGGTGTCTTTTATTTCGAGTTCAATGGGATACAGCGAATCAAAATAGGAATTGAAATGTATATTGTTCATTGATAAAACTTCGTCGATATTCCTAAATATCGAATTGAAGGCAACAAGAAAAGACTTCTTTTCATGCAGAAATTTTGCTTCATAAGAATACAAAAATAGGTCTGCTAATAATGGGACACAATTAATACCCATGTTAAATAACAGATTGTTAGAAGACTATGGCCCCGTTTCACAAAAGAACTTAAGTCTAAGACCAAAATAACTTGTTGCAACTTATTTTCTTCTTTAATTTAAAAAAAAAGTTAATCTTCCTTTACAACAAATATGGCCGTAGGAACGGGGGGATATCGGCAATAATTTTGCCGATATGTAGATATTATAGTAAACTTAGATACTATATGCTTGTGCCCCCTCAATAGAAACGTATGATGACCTTTTTTTTTTTTTTGCTTGTCAGGAAATTTTTGGTAGTACCCCCCCCTTCAACTGTCAACTGAAAATGTATGGCTGTGCCCCCCCCCCCAACTGAATTTGCTTCCTACGGGCCTGACAAATGAAGCCAATGTTAGTCTTTCGACCTACATGTAATTGTATATTCTTCAGAGAGAGACAATTTCAAGAAAAAAAAAATCAGTGGCAATCAGGTTGTGTAAACTTATAATACAAAGAACTATGAAATGGATACGTTTTCAGTGTATTGGGTAGCAGTCTTTGCGGGAGTATTTCGATAAAGCCAGTTTATCGGGATCAAGTACTACTGCTATCAAGATGAACTACTGTATGATAAATATCCTATATATTCCAAATTAAAAAAAATAAATATGCATTTTTTTATTTAAAATACCACTGATGTGATCTCAAAACATTTTGATTTTCTTCTCAACTTTTCTATTGAATCATATCATAAAATATGAAATAAAGAATAGCAATCAAGCTCAAAAGTAGAACAATACAAATTGGGTGCAGAGCAAACACGGACTACTAAAACATCGATCAGAGGTGGGATTAGGTGCCACTTAGGAGTAAGCACCTCCTGTCGACCGGTCACACCCGCCGTGTGTTCCTTGTCATGACTGAGTAAACGGAAAATCAGTAAACAATTCAGTGTGAAAATAATGACTTAACAATTTGTATGAAAAAGGTCAGTCAATATTCGACTTAGGCATAGATTGTATTTGATAACCGGGTCATTGTATCGACCATGGAATTTGCGAAATGTTGACTTTTAAACGAGACTGATGATATCCTTGTATCATCAACTAATTTGAAAATAGATTGCCTCATTTTAGAAATTAATCGTACGTAGAATGTGCACTTGCGTATCGAATCAACTGGGAGACATAAACTCCATATGCAGCTGATAATGGTACCCGGTATATTGCTACATAAATAAGTTGAAGTCATCAGATTTATCATAAAGTTTAGTTGCTAGTTTGCCATTGTTGTCTTTTTCTAGAAAAATATCCAATTATGAAACAGTTGTGTCAGACTCTGTGGTGTCTTTTATTTCGAGTTTAAAGGATATATCGACTCAACGTAGGAATAAAAATGAATATTTATGATTGAAAAAAAAATCGATATATAGAAATGTTGAATTGAGGGCCATAGCAAGAAATTTCCTCTTTTCATGTACATCATCAAAATTAAATAAGTACCTATTTTCGAAACTATGGGGCTAGTTGTATTTTTAAAATAGATCTTTATAAGAGTGCTGAACCAAATTAAAGGAATTTATACACATTGGAATTGCTCTTATGATTGCTTTTAATACAATGATCATTCAGTTGCATGGTTTCTTAATTTGTTACCAGTATATGAAATTCCGTTCTTTTATAATTTTTTTATACAATTTTCAGTTTCAGTGACTTTTTCACGTTCATGAACATCATGTGAAAATTTGCATCAGGTTACATCAGTTTACATCCAACAGAGCAGGAATGTAAAATGATACCTGATTCGTTCTTTTTTGTGTTGAGATTGTCCGTGTAGAAAGAGTAGGGACGTTTGGCATTGTTCTTGACTTGTATCCTCAGTGTATCCCCTACAGTTGCCCGGATTACGGGTCCAAGAAGTCCTTGCTGTGACGTCACAGGTTTTCTGGCCGTGAAGGTGTGGTCCTTATATTCACGAAAAACTGCTTTTCTAAAGACAGACTCACTGGAATGATAGTTTTGTGTGTAAAGACATTTAGCCACTCAATAATGCATTCTTGGTGTTAAAATGCTTTTTACTAAATCATTGCTTAACAATCATTTCAAAGCATGCAATGCTGAACCTTTTGCTGCAGAGAAGTTTTTTTAGACTAATGGGTAGAAAAGGTAATTTGGTACTTTGTTTCTTGAGGGTGCAAATGTGTGCTGACAAAATGTATATTTACTAGTTTACATGGAAGCTAATATACATGTATGTTAGCATTAGTGATGGTCAAAGGCATGTTTGCATTGCTGTTTGTACAAAAATGTTGACATAATTAAGTGATCATGGCATCACAGTCATGGTAACGACATGTACAGATACGTCAGCACTAGTATTCATACAAATATATGGACAATATTGCTCATAGCATTAGAAGTGATCGGACGAACATGTTGGTATTAGTGAGCGTACAAGTTATAGCAAAAACATATTTCTTTCTGTGTCCTGGTTATTATGAATAATGACAGGTTTCCAGTGAAGGGATCTCACCTTTGGTCGGTCTGTTTGTATGTCCAGTCGATCTCCTCAATAGCTACATAGTAAACAATATCTTTACCGTAAGAAATGGTTATCATGGAGAATAAACACAGGTAGAAATTCCTCCATGAATCCATTTTTATTTAATAAACAACAGAATGAGCCTCGGTAACCTCTCTACGGCGTAGTGGCCCTTGGAAGGTGAAGAGAGAAAACTTCCTCCAAGATAAACAAAATATTTACTTATCGAAGAGAGTGTAGAGAAGTCTGAAAAAACATATCTTCCTCCACATCTTGTATAGCATATCCGTTTCCTGCAACATAACTGACGCAAAACTGTGCAAGCGTCCGGTCCTTAAGATACGTCAATCAAAATAATATTTTGTTATTGCTACACAATTCAAAACTTTTTTTTTTAATTTCTTAAATCATTTATGATTTTGCTTCTATATAAAGACTCCTGAGGATTTGGTCATGCACAGACCTCATCGCCTCTTAAAAACTGAAGTTCTAATGGTACCATTTTGCTAAGTACAATCTTCTGAATGCACATTTCTTAAAGTGTGATTTAAGAGTTTTGAGAAGGAGCACAATTTAATTATATTTCTTTAAGAACATGCTTACATTATATGTACATTCTGTTAGATTAAGAACATTTGGGTTTATATGTTACAAAGTTTTACAACTTATATTCTGAGTATACCCTTGAACAAGTGTATCTTTTGATATGGCTACATTTATTACAACTCAGTGTGGTTTGAATGAAGTAGAAAGACGTCTCAGATTTGTTGTTACGTGTACCTTTGTCCCGAATTCGATACAGGGTGAAATTCGCTTTCTGTGTTTTCCATAAAAATTCTCAGAGAAGAGAATCTAGAACATTGTAAAGCTTATGTTGGGTCCAGAGGTTATAAAGCCATTACTCTGGGCATCATGAACTTGAAGGGAGTGTTTTAGAGTGGAGTGGATTTCAAATTGTTAGATGATCGATTTAAAAAGACGACTAGCGCATCAAAATATACATTTTAGACAATATGTATTTTACATAATCATAAAAAATAAGATTTCTCCAATACGTGCACTGATATATGAATGCTCTTAAATAATTTATTTTTCAAAAAATATTCGTAAAATAAATATAACTTTATACAAATTGATATGCATTAAATGCGTATATAATTGTATAAAAGTGTACATTGTAATCATATACTGAATACATACAAATAACAAAGGGTACGACATTTCATTTTAATATACGTATGGACATTTTCAATGTTTTTATTCAAAAACATCAATGTTTCATAAAAATAACATTTTTAAAAAAAGTATGGTAGAGATTTATCATATTTTTCTTTCTTTTTTTCTTCAGATGTTTTTAAACAAAATTCTGTTCAGAGGCAAAATGATACACACTGTATGTAAATAAAATGTAAATACATTGCAATGTCCCTTATTATTAGCAGCAGACACAATCGGTAATGTTATGACATTTACTTAAAGGTCAACAGATCTCCGTCCAAGCTAAAAACTAAAAAGTTGTGGAGAGAAATAAAAGTTACTCTATAGTCTGCAGGTATTCCCCTTTCTTGCTGGTATATATATATATATAAAGCCAAGTAAATCATGAACAGTGAGAATATGTATAAATTTTAGATACGAATTGTTCCATTCAGAACACATGATTTGATTGTGAATTTAAAACAAAAAAAATCTCACGGGTAATTAAAGTGTTTAGTAATGTTTCGTTTTTTTAACATGTACATACCACAATAATTAATGCTAAGACTTATACATGATTGTGTTTAAAAAGTTCATCTCAATAGCGAGATTGTCTGGGACTTTTGATTGATATCACATCGTCAGAATTAAATCTCTTCAGAGCTCTCACACAAAGTTCATGTGTACCTCCATTTGGATTTTTGAATTGATATTTGGTCATTAAGGTTTCTTGCAAAGCAAATCGCCATCATCTACAAGACAGCAAAAAAAAAAAAAAAAAAAAAAAAAATTTCAATAGCAAAATGAAGTTTTAGCGAGTTGTTCTTTAAAATGAATAATTTTAATAAATTTACATATTTTGAATTGTATTTTGTGATTTTATTTACCTAAGCATTGTGAATTACTTTACCACAAAAATAAAAAATCAGAGAAATATTCTGTAATGGGCTATAATTACACTTACCTGGGGGACTAGTACCCCAATGATTATACACCCAAACACAAACAGATTGGACCCCACCCACTCCCTGACGGCCTTTAGACAGCCCCTTGTATAAATCTGATCTGACAACTCTGTACTCTGTAGAAGAGATATATATATATTTTTGTATGCTTGATGGACCACATTGTCAGGAAATAATGTAATATTGTAAACAGTAACTGATAGGCTTACTTATATATGGGCTTACTAACCGTTTTCTTTAACGCTCCGCTTCCACAAAGTAAGTTGAGCTTGTCCCCCTAAAAAAGAACGGTAATGAAATCTAACATAAACTGAAGGAAGAAATAACAGATGCAAGCAGATAGTCCTGCGATATTGAAATTGTATATATATATATATATATATATATATATATATATATATATATATATATATATATTGCACAATAGTAAAGCCTTATATTTACATCTTTAAGGACACAACATGACCAGGGCACGGCACAACTTTCTGCACTTTTATTATCCTCTGAACAGTTGTAATACATGTTGTCTGCCCAGGCTTTATATCCATCATCATCGTTACTAAAACCACAGCAATCCATCTACAACACACAATAAATAGGTTTGGGGATTTAATACTTTGATTTTATGGTCTCGCTTTAGTTTTCCTTGTCTATTAAACTACTTCTATTAAAGTGGGTAGAGTTCAGTTTAAATTCTAAATATCCGAATTTATTTTAATGTAAGATGTCCTTTCAAGGGATATTAAATGGTGATAAACAATTCCAGACATTGAAAATAAAGAACGAGGGTGCATTTGATTGGCATTCGGCAGGAATTAGGGCAAAGTGAAAATTTCATTGATCTGTCACATGAAAGTCTTTTCATGTACTGCATTCCTGTGAAATAGGAAAGGAAAATATTTTCCCGATATTGTGTTTCGATTTGCTAAAATATAACTTGAAAATTGCCTAGCTAAGTCATTTGGTACAAAATGGTGCATTTTTAAACATTTTCTTTAAAAAAAAATGCTATCTCTGGGCCATCTCTCCATGATTTTGTAAAGGTATTTATCAATTATGTGAAGCGTTACTATGTTATCCTTACTACTTAGATAAGAAGACTTAAATATTACAATTTGACATGGTATTTCAAACCAAATGTAACATTATCCCATGTGCATAACTTTGCAAGTCTGTCCAGCTGCGGTCAGCTGACCAAATCGTGGACAAAACTAAAAATGTTTGGTACCCATGATTCCCACAGATCACACGTCAAATACGCCCATATTCTTTAACTACATGCGCCAAAAAATCAAACACCCCATATTCCAAATAAGTCTTGAAGGGTCGAAATTCCTCTTTTTATGGGGAGCGTAGCTGACCGAGAAGCTTTTTGCAGGAGGACTCACCTCTTTTTGCCAGCCGTCTATGAAGTCTTGTTGGTCGGCATCGTCTCTGTAGTTCGTGATTGCGTCCTTGAAGACGTCCTCGGGGTATATTTTTAGACTGATCAGTACACTATTGTCATAGTAAAATAAAAACACGAACACTACACCTACTACCTGAATGAATATGAAAAATGTCACGAGATGGGAGTACTGAAATAAAAACAAACGAGATATTAAGACAAAATAAAAATGTACAAAAAACTCTCTTTTTTATTTTGTTTGTTCGTTTACTAGTATTTGGGGAGGGGGTGGGGGGGGGTGTTTATGTATTGTTTGTTTTAGGGGGGGGGGGGGTCAGAGGATACAGGTAGTAATTTGCATAGAACGTCATTGACTTGTCCTGTTCTCCAATGTAAACATTACCCCATAAACCCATAAAAATGTGCATTCGAGATTATATATACCTTCAAATCGAAAGGATTCACATGGCCGTAGAAACCGGGGGCATGCCCCCCCCCCCTAATTTTGCCGATGTGTAGTAAACTATAGTATAGAAAACAGGGTTTTCCTTTTATAGATGTGTCCCCTCAATAATGACATCAAATGATATTTTTGGCTAGTCGAAGAATTTTTGTTTGTTAATGCCTAAACTGAAAATACTTGGATCCCCCCCACCCTCACCCCCACCCCACTGAAATTGCGGGCCTGTTTATCAGTATCTAAATTTCAGTAAATGTATGTACATGAAATTATTTTCTTTCTTTGCAAACATAACTTTTTTCCTTGATAGTTTCCAACTCCTCGAAAATGTAATGTTTCTAGTAGACACATGTAAACTCATCTTCGCTATCCAAGGGTTTTTGATCCGCTTCTCTCCTCACAAACACAAGGGTTTATGGGGAGAGTTGCGGATCAGAAACCATTGGCTAGCGAAAATGATATAGACTATTATATTTTTTTTCAAATTCCTGAAGTATCTACCCTGTCCCAGTTTACAAGAAGTTGGATTATCACACCTAAAGAAAATACATGTGGCATCCTAACATTTTCTTTTATAAGGTATGAGGCTTTAAGAGGAATTCATCTTTATACCGTATATGTAGAATTCTTAGCGAGGATTTAACTTTGGCATTATTAGCGGGGTGCTGAGATCGCTAAAATTGAATATCATTAAAAATTAATCGCGTTTTATTTGTAATACCTTCTAAAGTTAGCATTTTAAAATCGCTAAAAGTACTTCTCGCTAAAAATAAATATCAATTTTTTTAGGATTAATCGCTAAATTTTCGTCTCGCTAAAATTTCCACTTATACGGTCTATCCAAAGTTTTATAAAACTATTTTAATGATTCTGCACACCTTCAGGGAAATTAAAAGTGACTTACTACTGTTAACATGAATTGGTTTTCACGGAGGGACCCCATGGTCCCTAAATAAGAAATGAGAGTAGCGAGACATCCCACTATGAGAAGCAATAAGCTGGGATCTAGAACTACGTCTATGAAGGAATTGATCTTTTTATTCTTTTCATGGATGATCCAAGACGTCAAGCCAACAGTGGCTAAGGCAACAATCTGAAACAAACATTACAAAAAGGTCACATATGTAAATTATAAATGTAGGTTACACATGTAGGTTACAAATAATCAGTTGTGTATGAAGAAAATTACTGTTTGGTTAGAGGAATTGAAAGAACCTTTTAAGGATATCCGGATCCTCAGCCAGGAAGGATAACTCTTAAATTTATTATTTTATTAAAAAGTCAAAAAATGAAGATTGAAATTTAGATCTTTTTGTGCAACAATTTTCATTTTATGCATCTCAATATGATTCAAGGTTTTTTGAAGTCTTTGAAACGGTCCTGTAAAAAGTTGACATTTGTACTCCGTAAAAGAAAAGAATAAATTCACTTTTAGAGAAATCGAATTTCCTTTAATCTAGCATTAGATATCAATGCTTATTAGCATGATATTAAATAGACGTGATCTGTGATGTCTATCAATGATGGCACAAGCATTTTACACTATGTATTATATAACAATTTAAGTAAATAGAAGAACTAAAATACTGTATAAGCATAAAAAAGATGCAGTTTTCTCCAAATGCCTGGATACCTATATTTGTTATCCTAAAATATATTTGTTGATCAATTTTCAATTAGAAAATGCATAGCTGGTGTTTTTATTCACATTTCCAGAAAATATATTTGAGATTTGAAAATTTTCCCTATATAATATGATTAACTATAATGATGAACTTTGAAGAAATACCATGGGTAAATTCACGTTACTCTGTGAAATCAGATATTTTTGTGAGCATTTTCAATTACTCAAAAGCTGATTTTCAGAACCTGAGGATCGGACTACCTTCAGAGTGGTAGTTTATCTACTTTAGAAGACTGTTGTAAAGGTCTTTAATATCTGTCAAAGAGACAATACATTGACCAAGGACACTAACTGCCCCAGCTAATTGATGGAACCACGATAACGTCCATATCAACAGGGTGACAAGTGAAGGGTAATGACAGACGATCAGAAAAGTTATATGTTCAAACTTTACAACAATATGCGCAGACCGGATATCCTACAGAAAGCAAAGGATATATAAGATATATACAACCGCACATTACTGATGTTAATTAGATAGTAGATAATTGTGTTATTTGGTATATTTATATATATGGCTCTGTGTAAAAGTGAGCATGATGATGGATTTATTGTATAAGGTAACTGTAAAAGGATACTACTTAAAAGGACAACTTTCAAAACGTTTATCGAGAGACCTCGGTACTACATGCAGTTATTATACAATTGCTTAGTGTCCTAGAGTTGACGGTCGAGGCTTAACAAAGGGTGCACAGCATTAGCACTTTGTGCAAATATCAGGCCCGTAGCAACGTTTTTTATCAAAAGGGGGCAAAAAGTAGTCTATAAATGAAAATTTTCACGTTAAATGACAGAGACTTAAAAATTAATCTCCAAAAAGCCCCCCCCCCCTGCATTCTTAATGACTATGCAAATCAGAATAATTATTATACAGAGGTTATGCATACATTCGAAAGGATCAATCTCGGGGTGAAAAAAAATTAAAAGGCGTTATAACGTCTTTTCAAAAAAGGGGCGTAAAAACGCGAAAAAGGCGTTACTATGCCTTTCCAAACGCCTTTTTTCCAAAAGGCGTTATTACGCAAATCTATACGCTTTTCGAAAAGACATTATTATGTCTTTTGAATAGCCGTTATTATGCCTTTTGACAGGTCCGGGGTTTTGAAAGGGGGCATCAATACTCTACTTTAGAAAATCCAGGATATATAGGCAGATGTAGCTTGGGACTTTGCTGGCCATGTATTAAAAATTCATTCCAAATTTGAAAATCTTTTTCTTTCTTCTTGGAAAAAAAAAACAGGCAAACTATTTGCATGGGTATGATGAGCAGTTAGTCTTCAACCAAAACTGAAATCCAAGACCCTTGGTAGAGGTGTCTGGTATCAGAGAAGGACTAAGTTGGTTTAACATTGAAAACATATTACGCATTTAAAAATCTTTTTTTTTCCCTGGATATCTACATGTAACTACAATCTGCTTATATTCTTTTGGGGGAAATTGACCGTAATGGCTATACCAAATTGTGAAATTCATGTCCCGAAGGTCAGCAATTCAGTCCCCGGGGAGGGCTAAGTTAGTCATGTATTGAAACTAATAGGCGTAATATCGTCTTTTGAAATTTTGAAAAGGGTAATACAGTAACGCCTATTTGGTGAAAGGCGTAATAACGCCTTTTTTTGAAAACGCCTCTTTAAAAAACATTTCTTCATAGATTGATCCTTCTAGGTTTTCGTACATACATGTAATAACCACTCCAAGTGCTACTGTGACAATTTCCTTGTAATGCAGGATACTATTTTGGTTTACACTTAAACTTGAGTTAATTTAGCGTTAAATAAATATATCAGTCAAGATTAATGTACACATATGATGGAAGGGAAGTTCCGAATAACATTCTTTGTTCGAAATACAAAAACAAAAAACAAAAAAAACTTCCATCCCATTAAAATAGCCAACATAAAGACTTCATGTCACATTTCTATTCAAGCAAACGACTCTACCTTTATTACCCAAACACAAGTATTTAGTTAAACATCCAGCAGATAGCATTTCTACACTGGGGTATGTCTTACATGTCGTGCGTGACTTTTGGTGAGGTATGCTGTCGTATGAAAAGATTAAAAGACGGAAGTTAAAACTCAACTTTGACGAAACACGAAGAAAATTTGATTTTCTTACATTAAATTTCATTGCTTCAAAATGACAATACTATCAGAAAAAAAACACATCTTTGAAAAATTATCAGTATTATGGTACGGAGATCAATTCCATCTTCTGGTCAGATATTCACATCTTCTTTAACCCTATAATATTAATACGCCCATCTATTAAACTACTCCATATATCTAAACATCTCGTTATGAGTAAACATATATCGATTCTGGATTTACATGTACGGTATCAGGGCGGGGCTCTATAGTTTACAAGCATGATAAGCTATAATTGCATAATTTTGTTCACTTTGAAAGCACACAAAAACAAGTATCCCGATAGCTGGAGATTTTGCTATGTACATTCGATCAGAACATTGGCAATATAGTAACACGTTTAGTTATGCATTGGAAGGGGGGGGGGTTACTTGTTACATTTGTTTATTTCACATTCAGATCATGTGGCTTTAATGTGGCCATGAGAATTATTCAATGTCTGCCCCCCCCCCCCCCATTCCGTTTTCACTCGCACACATATCTTTGGCCACAAAACATGAATAGTTACCCCTTTCCCAATAGTATACACTTTGAAACGGCATACTTAGTAATACTTGAAAAGGGAATATAAACAAGCAATAAGTATAAACAATATCGAAAGTACTCAATATATATAAGAAAAATATACGTATTTAGGAATTATGTATACATGTCCGGATCGTCCATAACTTTGGTACAATTCGTATACTTACCAACACAACAAAATTGAACAAGAAAATGAAGTATTTTAAACACGGGTTGATCGAGCTCCTGTCCACATTACTTCTTCTACCTGGCGCCATTTTAAAGTTAAAAATATCCTTTCATTTAAATCCTAGATCACGTACCCACAAACACTGACAAATGCAAACACCTAGAGTCATAGTTTATAAACAAAACTGTGCTCCATAAGAGTATATTTTCACGGCACCTTTCTTCCTGCGCGTAACTTGGTTATCATTAAGTGTTTTTGAAGGGCCTTTTCTTTTTTAGTATCAGTTGATACTGTACACTGTGTATAAACCAGGCACACATGCAGTATTGATAAGGCTAGTCATACACACGTTATTTACAGTGCCTACAGGCAGCTTGTGCTGGTATCATATCGCCTGATCAACATCACACATGATCGACCAGATCGTTACATACTTATCTGAATTTTTTTTTCATAGTAGACGTTTTTATCTTCTGGCTTTTTTTTCCTTTAGGCTCTTATTGATTATTCACAAGAAAGAAATGAATTTTTACACAAAGGATGCGCACACGCATCCGTAAACAGTTAAATCTAGTAATACCAGAATTTATCAATATGACATGATATAAGACACGTGGATGTCTCAACTTTAATGACACATCTTGTTTTTATGTTTTAGTAAATATGGCCATATCTCATTCATCGAACATACACGGATTCTCCTGTAAACGGAAACGTAATATGTATCCTATCATTTTTCTGGTTTTCTTACAAATTATCGCTACATTTGCTGAATCATTAGCTGTTGTTCTGTTCAAATTACATATATCTCAAGACATGCTTATTTATTTCAAAACAAAGACAGCAACTACATTTTGCACCGGAACTAATTCACTTTACATGGAAACTTCTGTATACGGATATGTCAATCCTGTCTCTATTTAAATCCCATTGCCTCACTCCTAACATACAATTAGTCACCATGGAAATTACAATTAAAAGTTCATCAATTATTCTCTAATACAAGCATATTCTATAAGGATAAATGCATACATCACTTAAATACCGACGCTCAGAATTTCCTATTGAGAAAAGTAATTTATCTTGGGGTAACTTTTACGATATATGCGTATTTTTACCGATATTTTATAAAACATGGATAAAATAACCAAAGCAATTAAGATACAGGAAGTGAAAGTATATACCACTTGTTAAATTAAAAACTAAACAATAATTCGTTTCTGAGAAGTTTACATGCTCTTAGCATGAGTTGTATAGTCAGTACAGATGTCACTAGATGACATTCCCGTAAGTCACGTGATTCATGCGACGCATGTTGAAAATTATGTTTTATAAAAACTGATGTTTATTTAAAAATAATTTTTAATTTTTTTTTTTTAAATACAACATAAAAAGTTCCATCAAACTCCCAAGGAAATTATCTCTATTCATTCAGTTATTCATATATAAAAACAAACATATGATTAATCTTTTCTGAATTTTATTTTTGGAAGTTATGTCATGTTTCAGCATGTGTAATATTTATACATACAAAAATTAAATTATTTATCAAAATAATACTTGATATGTGTGCAATATTAAAAGATATACACAAATTTCTTCACATAGATAACAACATTACAATTTACCACACACACCATACAAAAGAAATATACAAGCTAGACTTTAATGAAAGATAGTTAGAATGTTAATACAATTGGAATGCATGAAAACAACTTTCATATATAAATGCAATATCACTTTGGAATAAATACTTTTAAATATTAGATACATAAATACATGTGTATATAAAAATGAAATCTATTGACAAGTAATGAAAAAGTGTAAATAAATACAACAATAGTGTTATCACTAATATGCTAATGTAACATTGTACAATGTCTACCTGTCATTTATCACAGCCATGCTATTGTAAGATACCAGACCTTCTATATATATATACATAACATTGTATTACATCAATCTAAATATAGAATGCACCTATATTACATATAAAATGGACGGTTAATTGGAATACAAAAATTAAATAAAGTAACAAAGTATTTGTATGTATATTAAACTACACACTCAAGATATAGGACATTAAAAAAATAATGGTTATCGGAACAATGTGCTTTATTTCATGATGCAGTTGGGCAGTACGTCGGTAATTTTAATGTTAATTAACTGAAACAAATTGAAATGGAAATCCTTTGAACAAATACCTGAAATATATGTTTATATTCAGAAGAAGTGAAAATATTGGACACACTTAAAGAGTGATGTTTTTAGTAAACATTTACTTTAATTTATTTTCTTTTTTTTTTCTTTAATTTTAATCAAGGACTCCAGCCTTAAAACTAAAGAAACCAGAAGTCTCTGATGAGACTGTAGCTCTACTGGTCTGTTTGTATAACAGAAGAAAAGTAGCACTTGGATTTGAAACATTGCAACATGCAACAATAAATAGAATTATGTATCTTAATTTAGTCTACTTTTGTGACAAGTTATATTGAAATCAAATGAAAACTAGGAGTAGTAGCGTTTTGAAAGTATTTCATGGAAATTTCTATTTCTAGTAACCATGACAACACCATTCACCCAAATAAAAAAAAACAGAAATACATATTATGTATCGTAGTGTATTCTAACTGTGTGCCAAATTAGATTGAAATCAGACCAAAATTGTAGGAGGAGTAACATTTTAAAGGAATTTCAGAGAAATTTCTATGTTAAGTAACCATGGCAACACTGTTCATCGAATTCAAAAACCAATGCAATAAATTATGTATCTTAGTATAGTCTTCTTGTATGCCTAATTATATTAGAAGCAGACTAAAACTATAGCAGGAGTAGCGTTTTAAAGGAATTTCACAGAAATTTCTATTTTTAGTAACCATGGAAACACCGTCCATCGAAATCAAAAACCAATGCACTAAATTATGTATCTTAGTGTAGTCTACTTGTGTGCCAAGTTATATTGAAATCGGACCAAAACTGTAGCAGGAGTAGCGTTTTAAAGAAATTTCACAGAAATTTCTATTTTTAGTAACCATGGAAACACCATCCATCGAAATCAAAAACCGATGCACTAAATTATGTATCTTAGTGTAGTCTACTTGTGTGCCAAGTTATATTGAAATCGGACCAAAACTGTAGGAGGAGTAGCGTTTTAAAGAAATTTCACAGAAATTTCTATTTTTAGTAACCATGGCAACACCGTCCATCGAAATCAAAAACCGATGCACTAAATTATGTATCTTAGTGTAGTCTACTTGTGTGCCAAGTTATATTGAAATTGGACCAAAACTGTAGGAGGAGTAGCGTTTTAAAGGAATTTCACAGAAATTTCTATTTTTAGTAACCATGGAAACACCGTCCATCGAAATCAAAAACCGATGCACTAAATTATGTATCTTAGTGTAGTCTACTTGTGTGCCAAGTTATATTGAAATCGGACCAAAACTGTAGGAGGAGTAGCGTTTTGAAAAATTGTTTACAGACAGACAGACAGACAGACAGACAGACGGACGGACGACGGACACCTTACTATCGCATAAGCTCTTCTGGTCTCTGACCAGTAGAGCTAAAAACTTAAATAATCTATCCTGATTTTGCTAAATTTGACTGCTTTTGATTTTCCTTCTTGTTACATAAACAAAAATATTGCATTCAATGAAATCTATGACAGCACAGAAAAATAATTATTGCAAACTATTATACACATTATTATTTTGGCACAAATTTTGTACTTTTGTATACACAAATAAAAACAGGGCAAGACTTATCAGCAGAGAAAACCAAGTCACATCTATACCCTCTCAAGACAATGGTTAATTACATCAACTCAAATAATGAAATCAAAAATAAAATATAATATCACTACATGGCTTAAAGCAATATCAAAATAAAGGATTGCAAACTGTAAATGTATGACAAGAAGCTCTGCCTTCTATCGACTTATTCTTGACTTGGATTCTTTGTATCCAATACCCAGACAACTATTTCTCTCAAGGTATAATTTACATACAATTGCAATAAAATTGTTAATGACTATTTCCCTGTTCCTACAAATGTTGGAAATGACAGGAAGTTTTCAGAGCTGCTCACATAAACATTTGTGTAACTCATCAATCAAAACATTCTGCTTAGTCTTTCAGCTATTCTAAATGGGGTAAAGACTATATTTAAATCGTTCTGCACAAACATTGGATGTTCTCTACCCTTTCTTGCTCTATTTGGATTGGAATTTCCCTTTCATTTTACGGAAGGCTGCACTAATTCCACCACCGCTGGGCATTTTGTGGTAGTTTGTATCATGTTGTGAGGCGATACTTTGAATGTCTTGAGAACTGAATTCCCGAACCCTCTGCATTAAGGTGTCCTGCATCTCGTAATCTGGTTCAAACCCATACACCTGATCTTTAAAAATACGAATCTGGTCTATGGTTTGGGTGATGGTTCTGTAAGATATGTTAATTTATGTTAAAACTCTTTGTGTGCAATTCAGCTGTTGCTGAACTTTACAATTATAAGTTCTAAGGAATGTTATAACACTATAAACCAACTTTCCTTCACAATCATTTTTTTTTCATGACATTATCAAAAAATCCTGTCCCACTTGTGAAATAAATTTCACATCCAACTACAAAAGCTGAATATCTATTAAGTCGTCTTTAAAAGAAGATGCAAATAAATATTTTTGTAGCCTTTAGATCTTTTTTTCAAAAATTCCAATTTGGAAGGTAACTAAACTGAATTCCAGACAAGGTAAAAGTAATGTCCATATCAAAACTGGAGGAAAGGATAAACTGTCCTAAGAAACATATTGCAACAGACTGACTGAAGAAGTATCCCCAGTGGCAGATAAATGTTTTACATCAGACACAAACCTGATCTTGCTCCACTTGACCATGTCATTGGCCAGTTTAAAGCTTCCAATTTCTTGTTGCTGGACATGTAGGAGGAAGAGCAGAGCAGAGGGAATTGTGGGATAAAGATGACAGTCTGCATGCTTCATTAAGGACAGGGCATCATTCTTCAAAAACATCTGTAAGATACATTTGAAAATTAGTCTGGGTTTATGACATTAGAGAAAAGAAACTCACAGAATACATATGTATTACAATTGTATGGATTTAAAAAGCATAATTCTTTTCTCTATGTCATCATTTTCACCAAATTTCCTGCAAATTATACAGTAAAACATGGTTACAGTGACCACACTTATAATAATTCATGTT